CATATTAATATAGAACTCGGAGTAATAATTCATTTAAACTACAATACACAACTTTATTTCCCGCACCCCTCAAAAGCAGTGCAAAGGCTTGGGGAAGTCAGGGGTAACAGAGGAGCTGAGGGAGAGGGGAGTAAATTGCTGGGTGTGAACTTGGAAGGTTGTTGGGTGTGGGTGGGAAAAGTATGGAACAAGTTTTTTGGGGGCGCAAGGTGGGATTGTTAGGAAGCTTCCCCCATGCAGACCCTGGCTGACCCCTAGTCTCTCCCATTCAGTCAGGCACATCTGCTCCTGTCTCCATGTGTTCCTCCACCACCACTCAGACACCCACTCCCACATCCCCATGTGGCCCTGCTACCCTCTGTCCCTATGTAACTTTTCACCCCCTCCCGCATCGCCATGTGGTCCTGCACCTCCCTCCCGCCGTGGCCCTGTGCCTCCACTCCCATTTAGCGCCTCCCCCACTAGCCTTTATGAGACTCTGTCTCCCCATAGCCCCTGTCTCCTGACCTGGCCTGACAGGCGCTGCGAAGAAGGCTCTGCAAGCTCTTTGTCTTCCCTTACTGGCCGGGAGTTGCTGCTGCGTTCTTTCTCCACAGCGCTCTCTGGTGGGCAAAAGGCGGAACTACAGCAACATTTTGGCGGAAGCCTTTTTCAGTGCAAAATATTAAAAATATGCATGGCTCATTAATTATGAATGCACACAACAGCGCAGAATTCCCCGAGGAGTAATATTGCAAGAGCACTAAGTCTTCATTCTTCAGGGCATAGGTTGCTCTCCAGCTAGAATTATGAAGAAATTGCTCTTCATTGGCCAATTGCATTATGGAGTGGATGCCTCTGACATTGGCCACTGTTTCAGGCAGAACATTAAACCATGTGAACCATTTGTGATGGAATCCCCAGGGTGCAGCCTGGGACCGTGGGACTGCTGTGCCCCCTTAACTCTCCAGCCTGGGCTCTCTCTCATAATGCTTTGCTAGTGACAAGCAGCAAACCTCTCCAGACACTGTTATTACTCAGTACAACTGCATGTGGAGCCCCATACTCAGCTAGATTGCATGAATCCTCCCAGAGCCACGCATGATCAAATACGTTTTCAAATACGTAAAAGGTTGTTACAAGGAGGAGGGAGAAAAAATGTTTTTTTAACCTCTAAGCATAGGACAAGAAGCAATGGGCTTAAATTGCAGCAAGGGAGATTTAGGTTGGACATTAGGAAAAAATTCCTAACTGTCAGGGTGGTTAAGCACTGGAATAAATTGCTTAAGGAGGTTGTGGAATCTCCATCATTGGAGATTTTTAAGAGCAGGTTAGACAAAGACATGTCAGGGATGGTCTAGATGATAATTAGTCCTGCCATGAGTGCAGGGGACTGGACTAGATAACCTCTCAAGGCTTCTTCCAGTCCTATAATTCTATGAATCACACTGAGAAAGGCACCGGCCAAATCCCCACCCCAGCTTCTAGCCTTGTACCTCTGGAGTATACCATTTTGTACTGCTCAAGGCGAGCAGTGCAAATTTATTAATTGGTTGACCACTTCATTGATGGAAAGTGGATATACACCAGCCTTTGTAAACCTGAGCAAACACCCTTAGCAAACACTTTGAGCAAACTCACTGGTAAAGATAAACAGTTAAACAAGTTTACTAACTACAAAAAATAGATTTTAAGTGATAGGCCAAAAGTCGGAGTTAGTTACCAAAAGAAAATAAAATACAAGGACTAGGATTGTTGATTAGTCGCAGTTAACTCACGCAATTAACTAAAAAAAAATTAATTACAATTAATCACAGTTTAATCGCACTGTTAAACAATAGAATACCATTTATAAATTTATTAAATATTTTGGATGTTTTTCTACATTTTCAAAGATATTGTATTCTGTGTTGCAATTGAAATCAAAGTATATTTTTATTACAAATATTTGCACTGTAAAATGATAAAAGAAATAGTATTTTTCAATTCACCTCATACAAGTACTATAGTGCAATATCTTTGTCGTGAAAGTGCAACTTACAAATGTAGATATTTTCTTTTGTTACATAACTGCACTCAAAACCAAAACAATGTAAAGTGGCTTCTGCAGGCCCCTGTAGTGCAGATCATGATCCCATGCCAGATTCACAGCTGGGGCAAATTTGCAGACGTAAGTGCACAAGTCCACTCACTCCTACTTCCTGTTCAGCCAATCGCTAAGACAAACAAGATTGTTTACATTTACATGAGATAATGCTGTCCTCTTCTTATTTACAATGTAACCAGAAAGTGAGAACAGGCATTTGCATGACTTTTTTTGTAGCTGACATTGCAAGGTATTTAATTTCCAGATATGCTAAACATTCATATGCCCCTTCATGCTTCGGCACCATTCCAGGGGACATGCTTCCTTGCTGATGACGCTTGTTAAAAAAATAATGTGTTAATTAAATTTGTGACTGAACTCCTTGGGGGAGAATTGTATGTCTCCTGCTGTGTTTTATCCACATACTGCCATATATTTCATGTTATGGCAGTCTCGGATGATGACCCAGCACATGTAGTTCATTTTAAGAACACTTTCACAAAACGCAAAGAAGGTACCAATGTGAGATTTCTAAAGATAGCTACAGCACTTGATCCAAGGTTTAAGAATCTGAAGTGCCTTCCAAAATCTGAGAGGGCTGAGGTGTGGAGCATGCTTTCAGAAGTCTTAAAAGAGCAACACTCCGATGTGGAAACTACAGAACCCAAACCACCAAAAAAGAAAATCAACCTTCTGCTGGTGGGATGACTCAGATAATGAAAATGAACATGCGTCGGTCTGCACTGCTTTGGATTGTAATCGAGCAGAACCCGTCCTCAGCATGGATGCATGTCCCCTGAAATGGTGGTTGAAGCATGAAGGGACATATAAATCTTTAGTGCATCTGGCACATAAATATCTTGCAACGCTGGCTATAACAGTGCCATTAGAACACCTGTTCTTGCTTTCAGATGACATTGTAAACAAGAAACGGGCAGCATTATCTCCTGCAAATGTAAACAAACTCGTTTGTCTGAGTGATTGGCTGAACAAGAAGTAGGACTGAGTGGACTTGCAGGCTCTAAAATTTTACATTGGTTTATTTTTGAATGCAGTTTTTTTGTACACAATTCCACACTTGTAAGTTCAACTTTCATGATAAAGAGATTGCACTACAGTATTTGTATTAGGTGAATTGAAAAATACTACTTTTTTTACAGTGCAAATACTTGTAATCAAAAATAAATATTAAGTGAGCACTGTATACTTTTTCTGTGTTGCAACTGAAATCAATATATTTGAAAAGGAAGAAAATATCCAAAAATATTTAAATAAATGGTATTCTATTGTTGCTTAACAGTGCGATTAATTGCGATTAATTTTTTTAATCATTTGACAGCCCTAATAAGCACGCAATCTAAACTCAACCCTATTAGACTGGGAAACATCTAGATCAAGCAGTTGTTCTCACCCTACTGGATGTTGCAGTTCATAGTGTCTCCTGTGAGTGAGTCATTGAATTGTAACTCTTCTGCTGGACAATGGCTGGTGATGTCTGTTCAGCGCCCACCTGGGCATTGATTACCTCCCTTGTCATTGTCTCTGGAGAGCTAGTATCTGGGCATTTCTCAAATCCACTGCATATTTTAGTGACAGCCATACAACATAATTCTCATAACTTCATATGCCCTAATGATACACATATTTAGATAGAACCATGGCTTTTAGTGGATTATAACCTTTCCCCTGATACCTCACATGGTGTGCTTTATATGAAAAATCACAATTATATATAAATGATGAATATGGGGCACTCCCCCAAGGTATAGAATGTCACACCATTAATGTGTGATATTATTGCAGTTCTGATATTCAGAGCCCCATGATTGCTTGGCCACATAATGTGACCTTATTTCTTACAGATCTTGTCTCCACAGTCTAAGGGCTTGTCTACACTGGCACTTTACAGCGCTGCAACTTTCTTGCTCAGGGGAGTGAAAAAACACCCCCTGAAGGCAGCAAGTTTCAGCGCTGTAAAGCGCCAGGGTAGAGAGTGCTCCAGCGCTGGTAGCTGCTCCCCTCATGAAGCTGGGGTTTTTTTTAGAGCTCTGGGAGAACTTTCTCCCAGTGCTCTGCCGCGACTATACAAGCCACGTTACACAGCAGCGCTTTAACGTTGCCAGTGTAGACTAGGCCTTAGTTAGATTTCTCCTACACCCTTATGGTAGGGAAAATTTCCAAGTATGACCTGAGACATAGTTGTCTTCCTAACGCTGCAGACAGCCTGAATCAGTAACTCTGAGAGATGTGGACTAATTTAAATGGAATGTTGATTCTGATGCCTAATGATGGCAACATGATTATCACCAGAAACTTTCACCATTGCATAAATTGGCAGAAATCCATAGCTAATACACTTACCATTATCTTTGGTTACAGTGAGGCAGCTTTCTCCTTTGTTTGTAGGCAGACGCACAAGACACACATCCTTCCCAGTGCGAAAAGGCTCAACTGCTTCCTTTGTGCTAAACCGCAAACTTCTTTTTGAGACGTTCTGGGTGCCAGAACTCCCAACTCCCTCTACTCGCTTTCTAAAATCCTCCATCTTTCTCGTCAATAATTGTTACAATACATTTGTGTTGTCAATAGAAAACTCTCCTGCATGCTGAAAACTGAAAATGTATGGTGTAAAACTGAAACCATTTGAGCCATCTGAATTTAGTATCAAAATAACAGGGAATACTTTCAGTGCGTTACTTATTTCATATTCAGTGAAAGAACTCTTTTGAAATGTTCTGGGAGCTACCACGGGAATCTCAGTATGCCATCGAATTTAGCGTTGCTGTGCTGCAGTAATTAGGGCCGGTGAGGGGGTGGCTGCAGTCTTGGTGTCCATGGTTTTGTGCTGTATGTGGGTCCTGGCCTGTGTTTCACTATTTTATGATCTTTAAGCCGAAAAGAGAGCAGAGGAGACCATCATTTCTTTCATCCCTAGGAGAACGATCCCTCTGTGAGATTGAAGATTGCTTCCTTGCTAGGTTTGTTATCGAAGACGGCAGGATTTTCTCCAGACTGCATTATGGATGATGCAATTAACACGCTTCAAAATGAGAGTAAGTCACACTTCAGATCTAATTTGAAATCAAGGCAGAATCCTCCAGACTTTGTACATCTAAGGCAGTGGTCTCTAACCTTTTTACACACAAGATCACTTTTTGAATTTAAAATCAACCCAGGATCTACCCCGCCCCCTTCCCCGAGGCCCGCCCTGCTCACTCCATTCCCTACTCTGGCTGGGAGTGTGGGAAAGGGCTCCAGGCTGAGTCTGGGGCAGGGGATTGGAGTGCAGGAGTGAGGCGTGCTAGCTCTGGGAGGGAGTTTGTGTGCAGGGGTCATACGGTCGCACTGCACCTAATCTCATAGAATCCACTGGACATTTCATGAGTTGTACTTTTTATTAGTCTCATTTGTGGTTTGTAGATCCAAAATCCTTCAGGGATTGTCACAAATCAATGTAACAATCTCAACTGTGGGGTGTGTATTGGTTGAGCCTGGGGCAGGAGGTTGGGGTGCAGGACTGAGGGGTGCAAGCTCTGGGAGGGAGTTTGGGTGCAGGAGGGGGCTCCAGGCTGGTGCAGGGGATTGGGGTGCGAGAGGGGGTGAGGGGTGCGGACTCTGGGAGGGAGTTGGTGCAGGAGGGGGCTGTGGGTTGGGGTATAAGAGGGGTTGCGAGGTGCAGGTTCTGGCTGGGAGGCGCTTGCCACAGGCAGCTCCCGGTCAGCAGCGCAGCAGGGCTCAAGCAGGCTGCCTGCCTGCCATGGCCCCATGCTGCTCCCAGAAGTGGCTGGCTGCTGGCACGTCTCTGTCGGCTCTGGGTGGGATGGGGGCAGTGGGTCTCCTCGCGTTGCCTGCGCCTGTAAGTACCACCCCTGGAGCTCCCATTGGCTGGTTTCCAGCCAATGGGAGCTGCAGGGGCGGTGCTGGGGGCTGGGGCAGCACACAGAGCTCCCTGACTCCCCTCCTCCCAGGGGCCGCAGAGATGTGCCAGCAGCCAGCTGCTTCTGGGAGCGGAGTGGGGCCACGGCAGGCAGGCAGGGAGCTTGCCTGAGCCCTGCTGCACCGTCGGCCCCGGAGATTGCGATCGACTGGCAGAGGCTCCAGGATCAACCAGTCAGTTGCCATCGACGAGTTGGTGACCAGTGATCTAAGGACTGTGGCAAGACTCCTATGTGAACACAAACAGCCTAAGTATAAGATTGGGGATTATTGCTCAGAGGGAACATTGTTTCCTCCCCCCCACCGTATTCTCTATTTTTATGACCATTGTAAAATCCTATCATGACATTCTCAAGGCAAAAAAATCTTTCAGCATCACTGTTATATAATGTCATTGTAGAACAGCAGACGGTACAGAGTGTGCGTTCCTGCTGTAATATCACAGAGGCAGAGACATTGTTTCTTAACTGCTCTGCGTTGGGGGACAGCCTTGTTTGCAAGTGGAACACTGTAATGGAATCTTTCCTCACCCCAGCTGCAGGATAATGGCAGAAGTTTATTTTTAATTTGCACAAAAACATCATTCCACGAGCACTGTTTTCATAAGAGGGTGAAGGACAAACTATCCCCCATTTCTTGCTGTAACAAAGTCTGTTTTAATTTTAAAAGAATTTCATCCCTCCAAGCACTTTATGTAAAAAACATTTCGTGGGAGGTGGGGATGCAGGTTACCAGTGGGATTTAGAAGCACAAGTTCAATTGACAGTTAGTGGGACTTAGGCACTTTTGGAAATTCCATCCCATGAGAACATCATTTATGTAATACGCACAGTGGTTTATCAGTTTACTTGCAACGTAGACAGTGAGATCTCTGTAGGCTCACGAAATTAGTAAAGAGATATGAAACCTTTCACTGTTTTGTTTAACAGAGTCCCACCAAGTTCTTGCTCAACTGCTTGATACCCTGTTGGTGATTGGGACGAAACTCACAGAGAACCCAGCTGTCAGAATGAGACTGCTAGACGTAGCCTGCAAGGTAATATAGTCTTATTGATGAAGTAAATATGCTTTAGAGGTCAAATTCTGCTCCCAGATACTCGTGTAGCTTGTGTTGAAATCAAAGGCAGTTGCCTGCACATATCTGGGAGGAGAGTTTCACTCTCAATTTTAAATATGCCAATCATAAAAATTCTGATAACATCAATGCAAAAAATCTACATAACAAAAAGTGTCCAGTATACTGAAACCCTCAAAATCTCTAAATCTGAATTAATGAGACTCTTGCAGCCTCAAAATAGCAGCTATGACCTACTTGTTAAAATCGTATTCATATCAGTTTTCATACTTTCCACTTACGTAACCCTGTTCATGTACAGATTTACAAATGGTTTCAGAGTAGCAGTCGTGTTAAATGTGGTTAAAAGTTGTTCCTGTTTTCCTGATGGCATTACTGGTGCATGGAGAAGCCAGGTGAATAGAACGATCTTAAATTTGGATATGGATATTGTCTTTCTACCTGTCTGCAATTCACCTAGCATCCCAATAGTTCTATGTAAATCCAGATTCCCTAATTTGTAGGCTTGTCCTCAATCCAGTAGACCACAGTTGCCTTTTATATTTAAAAAGCAAAGGAAATGAAGCTCAGAGTTCATAGATAATGTTAGCTGACATTAGTTTGCAGCATTTAGGGGGTATTATTTTTGAAGCTTGTGCAATTAATGTTATCTGACTTCCACACCTGCTAACTCTTCCCTCAGCACTTATGTCTCACATTAGAGCCCTATTAAAAGAAATAAAGAGCTCTGTGGAAGCTTGAAAGCTTGTCTCTTTCACCAGCAGAAGTTGGTCCAATAAACAATATTACCACACCCATCTAGTCTCAAGAAAACAGTGTCCGTTTATAGCTAAGGTAATCTTGTTGTTAAAGGGAGAAAATATACTGACTCTAATGCTTGATTTGACCAATAAGTCTTTTGCCCATTCTCAATTCGTTACAATTATGTTGGTAACGAAAGTACATTCTGTTCATGGAGTAGCCACGTTGAATAAAAATCACAGAATGAATCGCCATGTGAGTTAATAAATTATCCATAATTACCTATTTCTCTTTTGGTATTTTAATGAAAAAATTATCTGAGTCAGTGAGTCACTCCCCTTCTTTAAATTTAATTTTAAAGTATTCTGCTTTTCCTTGGTTTATGATCTCCTCTAACACTTTAGTAGAGGATTGGAGAATATATAAGAAGAAATTGTATTATATTAAAAGATCTTTAAAATGTTTTTTTGGGAGGGATTTAATTGTGTGTGTTTCATTGATACAGAAGATTGGTAATTCATTGATTGGTGAAATGCTACCTAATTTTACTCACCACTTGAAAATATACCTGTAGAGGAGGATTTTCTTTCTACAAATTGTATTAAGAGGCAAGCTGTATCCACAATTGTTTTTCTGTGTGTGTACCAAATCAATAGGAGATTTCAGTGTCAATCTATTGCAGGATAGGAATCCTTGGTAGGATTACTAAATTTAAGGGTATCTTTTAAGTCATATAAACTCTGAGGCAGTTTTGGTATGAGCACAAGACTGGGAACTAGGAACTCTTGAATTCCAACTTGGATACTTTTATTCTTAATTGCAAAATGGGGAGGATGGTTGTAAGTGCCAAATATCCTTGCTGCATGAGCAGTTACTCATTTTGTGTGTGCTGCTTAGGCTGTGCAGTATTTTGCCTAAATTACATCTGCAACTGTTTTTGAAAATTATGCCCCATGAGAAAGCTTATTTTAATTCTTTGCTGAAAAAGCTGTTTTCTATGGAGAGAACTGTAATGTATGTGTGTGTAAAATTTCTGATTAAACTTCTTCATGAAATTATTGTTCTGTAGGATTGATAATATATAGAATAAAGTAAGCATCAAATATTTGAAGGAAAGCTACTATTGGACTTTATCCCTGAAAACTGTTGTAACTTTAAAACAAAACTCAAACTTTTGGGAGGCTTCATCTCATGTGAAACAGTCTGCTGCTTGAAAGGATAAAATACCAAGAAAAACATTTCTTATTCTATCCCATTACGCAGTATCTGACGGACTCCTCCCATGGTGTCAGAAACAAGTGCCTCCAACTGATTGGTTATCTTGGATCTGTGGAAAAAGGTGCCACAAAAGAAGCTGAAAGCCTGGCTACCAAAGATGTCCAGAAGATAATAGGGGACCACTTTATTGATCAGGACCCTCGTGTTAGGACTGCAGCTATAAAAGCGATGGTAAGTGCTGCTGCACTCTTAAATGTATTAGGAGTCACTCAAGAAGACTTGTAAGTGGTTGTAAATTGAGCGAGAAAAACTCAGTCAAGAAGGTGATTTATTAAGTCATTTTGGTAAATGTGAAAATTAAAGTTACCCAAGTTTCAATTAAATTGGCCTTGAAAAAGTGTGAGGGGAATATCCAGATTCTTGTACAATAGATTAATAGAGGATAAATATATATTTTGGAAGTTTATCATTTTAGTGACTTCAGATTTTTTGGTGTGTGTGTATATATAACAAAATCAGGCACATTCCAGTTAGCAATAAATATGCTTTCCTTGCTTTAGCTTTCGTTATGGTCAATACTGACCACTCCAACTAATGCTTGTTGGGATGTAGCATCAGGAAGTTGCTGAGGGAAGAAGAAATACTTCAGTAACTGGAAAAATCCAAGAGAAAGTTTATGCTTAAAAATAGCATGTCTGCAGGGCTCAGTAATCATGTTAATTGGGTGTTCAGCAACTGCTAGTAAGGTAAACCCATTTCCATGTTGGGATGGGGGGTATTCAAATTAACACTCGTTAAACTTCTGAAAAAGAGGCAGCATTTAATACAGGATTTCAGTAGGGTCTGGTTGGGATCTCCCTCTGCTCTTCCCATCCACTTCTGTTGTATTTTAATGACTCTCTTTACAGATATTTTTTTTAAATGTGTTCATGTGACTTTTTATGGTTAAATTGAATGTCCAAACCTAGACTCTTATTGCCAGGACAATATACTATCACAACACAAAAGCCTCCATCGTTCTGTAGTTTGAAACCAGAAAGCATTCTTTGGAGGCACCAAAAAACCTTGCCCATGACTACTTTGCTACTGTTTTAATATTTTTTCTTCATTTGTAAATTGTAGTCTGCAGAGGTCTGTCTAGAAAAGATAAATGCTTTTCTTTCAGATGACAGCCTACCGGATAGTCTTCCCATGTATAGGGAACATATACAATTCTGTCTTACTATTTATACTTCGGAAACTCATATGGAGCTACATTATTCTGTGTAGAAACTGTCTGTAGTTGCTAGAGAAGGGTCTACAGCTTTGCTGGATCAGTAGTTGAGAATGTTTTAGGACAAGATTTTATTGAGAATTCATGTTGTGAAGCACAACTCTTCAGAAGACTGGAGAAAGGTGGTGTTATTGGTAGCACTAATGTAAAAACCAAGTATGATGGAGACAAACTTTATACCAAAGTCTAGATAATTATTTATTATAATAAGATGAGAATATTTAATTCAGCAGAGGCCGTGAAATGGTTGAATGTAGCAGAGAATCAACTACTGTAGCAAGCAATTATTATGGGATTCATGTCAATGGTAATCAAATGGTAGAGACAATAGTAATGAAAATAGACTATCTTATTTAAAACCATGTGATGATGCATCTGTTTGTTTTTTTCCTCCTTTTATAGCTGCAGCTACATGAAAGAGGATTAAAATTGCAGCAGACTATTTACAGTCAGGTAATGCCTTATTAAATATTGTGCAAGTTCTTTTTTAGTTTCTGTGACAAAGTAGTTCAATAGGAAAGGAAGTATGTTCAAGACAGTGAAGCTGTGGAGATGTAATTTGCTCACTTTTACTGGAGGAGGGAGAGGGTTGGGGAAAAGGTGAGGCATTTTAGTAATTATGGCCCTGATCTTGCAATCTAATCTGTGCAAGTGGAATCTTGCACACATGCAGAGTCTTCCAAGCATTCCATGGCCTAGGCCCAGGATATCTAAAATACTGTCTAAAGTTCTGGGACAAAGACCTGGTTGACAGCTATGCTCCTCTGGCACAATGGAACTCTCTACTTTAAGAGTAAAGCTCATCTGTGCCGGAGACAGAAATTTCTCCTGGGGTCTGAGACTGTGGAATGAGCTCCACCAAGAGCTAAGGACCATCACAACACCTCCACTTTCTGCTCCTAGTGCAAAGTGCATTTTTTTTATCTGCCTTCTATAATGTAAACTCATAGCAACAGGTATATTTATTAGGGGGAAAAAAATAAACCCTACCAAAACAAGATACTCCACTGCACATGCTTTCTCCTTTTGAAGAGAGGGTGAGTGAACAAACATCATGTGACAGGTGTGTAGTAGCATTGCTTAATGTACCTACTGGAAGGTGCTCATACTGTGGTGATGAGCGCAGCATAAGAACCTGAATAGAATTAAATAGTCTCATTGATGTTCCCATGAGGATGGGGTCTACCTTCATGGATAAGGTTTCAGGATCAAGGCCTATGAAAATGAGGATAATATGGATCATAGTCAGTTGTAGCGAGGAAAGGTGCTGTGCAACATTCTTCATGTCTCTGTGTAGTTCAGCCAGTCCTAGAGCTCACCTGAGCAGGGCTAACCAATCTGATAAGTACTGCACTGGGTTTGTCTAATGGACAAAGGTCTGGTAGGACTAGGTTGAGATAACCAAATACATTTTGATTCATAATCTCACCTAGCTGGTATAGAATCTGTACTTTGTCATATAAGAGAGTTTAATGGAAGCTTAAATGTAAACCTGGTGCAGGGGTTTAAGATTAATATTTGGAAACCTTCATTTCAGGCTTGCAGATTGCTCTCAGATGATTATGAACAGGTACGCAGTGCTGCCGTTCAGTTGATCTGGGTCCTCAGTCAGCTGTATCCTGAGAGGTATGTGCTGTATGCAGACTGATTCAACAAGTTATACAGGATAGGAATAAGCATGCTAGTTCTGAAGGTTTTTGTCTTAAACAAGTCTTCAACATTGTGGTTTGAAAGGCTATGTATATTAAATGCCTATAGCCTAAGCCAAAAGTGGGCATGTTGGACTAGGTGATATTTTTGTTTGTTTGTTCCTAAGATGCCTTATGTTAGCTCAGCACTGTTTATTTCATTGGCCTTTGCCACAAAGGAGAACACGTTTTATACAAAGTCTCAGCACAGTGACTTACAGTGTGTGCCTCTGTCTTATTCAGCATTGTCCCAATTCCTTCTTCCAATGAAGAAATTCGCTTAGTTGATGATGCATTTGGAAAAATATGTCATATGGTCAGTGATGGCTCATGGGTTGTTAGAGTGCAAGCTGCTAAGCTGTTGGTGAGTTTCCTTGGTGTTTTCATGTCGTCTTGGTAGAAGGTCACGGTATGTTGCCTTTTTTGCCTATATTTGGGAAGAAAGGATGTGAAGAGAGCATTGATGTTCTGACTTTTGTTTACTGGATTTGCTAGTTGATACTGTGTATGATATCAGTGTCTAGATCAATTGATTTCTGCCAAATTTCAAGGCAGTTTTGAGGGGAGAGGTGGAGCTAGTGTATATGCAGATCCATTAGAAAATAGCTTCCCAGCTATTCACAGCTGTTCTCTCCTCTGCGGGGAATGGACTCCTCAGCACAACCAAAATCTCATTTATGGCCCCCAACTTCAAGGCCAGGTTTTTAGTTCCCTAGCTAGGACCAACTATATGGAGAGAGTGGGGTGCTGTGATGAATTTATATGCGGACACTCATAAACTCTTAAAAGCTCCTAAATACTGCAGTGATGAGCACTATATAAACCCCTTGAAATACAGAAATGAGTGGTCGCTGTGCTGGGGTGTGTCACTCAGCAGATTCTATTGGCTTACATTGATAACCATCTTGGTTCTTCACCTAATGTGGGTTTTTTGTTTGTTTTTTCAGGGATCTATGCAGCAAGTTAGTTCCCATTTCTTGGAGCAGACACTTGACAAGAAGCTGATGTCAGATCTGAGGGTACATAAACCTTGTCTTTTATTATTTTGTCCCCTCCCGTTCGTCTCTCCCCCCCCTTACCTTGCACTAAAATTGCACAACAGGTATGTTAATGTCTAACATATTTCTTTATCTTTTCCATGCCTCAGGGCAATTGAGAGTTGATTGATCGTGACAGGTTGACTTTAATCTAACAGAAAACGAAGGCTAAACTGCTTCATTAGCTTTTGTGTTCTTGTAATAAATCACTCCTGAAGCTGTTCAGGTTTCATTGAGGAGAGAGTGGGATTAGCATGCTATCTTGACACCATCTTGTTTTAGAGCTTCTCTCTTATTTATTGTGAACAGAAAGATTGTGTTCCAGTTTTGGGAACATGCTATAATACAAGATCTTACAAGATCTGCTTGGCAGTCATTTCAAATGACTTAACGCTTAGAATTGGGACTCTTGTTTGTATGTTTGTTTGTTTTTTATCGTGATTTTGTAGTTGATTCACATAGTGACCTTGGGCAAAATCCTTCTTCTCTTTGGCTCAATTTTTCCATCTACAAAATGGGATAACTAATCTGTGTCTCACAAGGATGATAGGGCTAAATTCGCTAATTTTTTTAAAGTGTATTGAGATCCTTGGTTGGATGGAAAGTGAATGTAAGGCTTTGTCTGCAGTGGGCAAATGAAGTGTGTTAGGAAATGTGGAGACATTTTGATTAACACGTGATTTAATGCCAGTTATTATCTAATATAGACACACAGTCATGTTAAAGTGGTAGGGCTTAACCCCAGTTTAACAGGGGTAACTACAGAATCGTGTTCAACAATATGTTAATTAAAACATGTTAGATATTATTCTTTTCCCAGTGAAAACAAAGCACAAAATATTGAGTGATTTTTCACATAAGAGGAGGGTAGCTTTCATGTCTCTCAGCAATTACATCTCTTCCTCCTATCACTGTTGAAGTCTTTCGCTATAACCTTGTTATGGAACCAGAGCAAGTCAGTTAATGCACCAATAGTTCCTTTAAAATTTAATAGCCTTTATGATACATAATATTTATTTTCACAGAGGAAGCGCACTGCACATGAACGAGCCAAAGAGCTCTACAGCTCTGGGGAGTTTTCAAGTGGCAGAAAATGGGGAGACGATGCACCCAAAGAAGAAATAGACACAGGCGCTGTGAACTTGATTGAATCGGGAGCTTGTGGGGCTTTTGTTCATGGCCTGGAAGATGAAATGTATGGTGAGTGTTAACTTTGTATGTGGCAACCAAAGAAAGGAGGATCTGAATGTAAAGTCCCTAACATACTGGATAGCGTAGCTTTCCAAAATTCATGTTGCCTGGAACAGATCCCCTTTTTCCCAAAAAAAAAAAAAAAAAAAAAAGTGAATAATATATTGCAAGGTTGGTTTTTGTTTTTTTTTCATTACCATCTCGGTGAGGGTGAGCAAGTAGATTTTGTTCCTGGTTGGTAAATATTCATGATTTTGCAAGACTGAATTAATGTTAGCTCAGCACTTTGGACAGGCAAAGCATTCTGTATTAGGGTACCCGGAAATCAGTAATTTTTTAAAACAGTTAATTTAGGAAAGTGTGTGGGGAAAAGTGTCTACTTCTACTGTTCAAGGATCAGATCCAGCTCCCACTGGATGTGTTTTCATTGACTTCGATAAGCTAGATTGAATCCTAAATTGGAAACTTTAGTTGCTATTGCTGGACATGGCCAGATTCTCTAGAGCCTAGAGAAAGGGGAAACCTACATTCATCTTACAACAGTTTAAAGCATGTTGGTCCTCTCTCACTGTAAATAGTTTTAACAGAGTTGGCCAGCAGTAGTTTGGAGCACAACATTGGGACCCAAGCCCTGGAGTTCTAAACTTGGCTATGACACTGATCTTGTTGATGGGACTAACCAAGGTCACTTCACCTCTATGCCCCAGCTTCCCCATCTGTGGATAGGGATAATTCTTACCCCTTGTATCTCCATGGGGCTATTGAGAGTGTTAATGTTAGTGAAGTGCCTTGAAGATGAACATTTCTATGAGCTGTAATTGCTGATTGTTGCTTTTAAAATTTACAGCGTGGATGGAGCAACATTAGAAAGTACAGGGTGTGCTCTAAAAAGTAGCTCTGTAAAATCACATTGTAAAGATTGGTTTGTTGCTCTATGACTTCTGTATTAGGCTTGCTCAATTTGCAATTAAAATTACATGGTGTTTTCTGTCAAAATCCTTCTGGGATGTGAAAAATAACCTTGATTCTTTCTGGCTTAATAATAAAGATTTTTCACTTGAAACAATTCGGATTTCCATACCATAATATCCAACTTGCTGTCACACAAATTTTCGCTCTGCAGTGCCAAAGGTAGCATTTCTATCAATGAAGAATGATTGGCTCGGAATACACACAGATCTGGTGAACTGATGTGGAAATTATTTATACAGTCACCCCTCTGACCATTACTGCACTTTAAATGCTACTGGCTACAGTTCCACCTTATACCCAGCACTGCAGCCTTCCCTTGTACTAATTTTTAATCTGTATCTTAGTCTGCCTTGTCAGAGCAGTCACTGAAATGTGTTTTAATCTGTGCTGCCTTAACTGAGTGAGTAGGTTGGTGGATGAGGGGAAAGGATCTATAACTAAATAAGCAGCGTCTTACCGTGATTGTATTTTTTCAAGTTAATCAGAGACATCTGGAATCACACCATGTTGTTCAAGAACAATAAGCCTAACATGCTACATTTGCAAATTTTAATTCACTGTTTTCAAGCTAAACTTTTTTGGATGAAAAATAGAAATATCTTATAACATGCCAGATTTGGTTCTGTTGTTTTTATGATCACCATTCACAAAAGCTTGCAGAAACTGGATGAGAGAGTCTTTTGCCTTCATTTAATGGATTACATGTGGAGGTACTTCAAATACCTACAGTGTTTTTTACACCATGAATACATGTGAGCTGCTTGGCTATCCCTTCTGGTCTTTCCAATAACATGCATATTAATCATTCCCATGGTACCTCTTCCTTTCTGAGGGATCGCATAGCTCTAAACTAAGGGCTCTCAAACTTCATTGCACCGCAACCCCCTTCTGACAACAAATATTACTTCATGACCCCAGGAGGGGGACCGAAGCCTGAGACCGCCCAAATCCCACCACCCTGCGGGAGGGACAAAGTCAAAGCTCCATTTCCCCAGGCAGGGAGGCCAAAGCCCAAGGGCTTCAGCCCCAGGCAGGGGGCTTGTAACCTGAGCCCTTGGACTTGGGCTTTGGTCCTGGGCCCCAGCAAGTTTAAGCCAGCCCCGGTGACCCCATTAAAATGGGGTCCTGACCCACTTTGGGGTCCTTACCCACAGTTTGAGAACTGCTGCAGGGTTCACTTCTGCTATTGAAACACAATTACCCTGGGGTGAAATGTAACTTTTATAGAGAACTACACAGCAAGTGAAGGAAGGATGTGAAGAACACTCTCGACAATTGAAATGGCAGGAAGTGTACAGGCAGGCAGAATGTAATTATCGAACTCCTACTCCTGCAAAATATGCCATGGCTCTCTAATAATCTTGTTTTTTTTTTTGTCTCACCTGAAAATGCCTCCAGTGTCACTTCAAATGGTAGCTTGTGCTGTTCAGAACTGATAACTGGAGTGAATGATACCTAACAGAGACAGCTCTGGTGATTCAAAATTTTCCTTAGGGGTCTCCTATCAAAATTCTTACTCTTGCATAGCTTGAGGTCTGGCCACTAGGTGATATAGCTTTTGATTAGTATTAAAAATAACCCTAAATAAGATTCTTTTTTCCTTCTTTCAGAGGTTCGGATTGCTGCAGTTGAGGCCCTCTGTATGCTGGCTCAATCTTCACCTTCTTTTGCAGAGAAGTGTCTTGATTTTCTAGTAGACATGTTTAATGATGAGATTGAAGAGGTAAGATTGCAGTCGATACACACGATGAGAAAAATCTCCAACAACATAACGCTGCGAGAGGACCAGCTCGATACCGTGCTAGCTGTCTTAGAGGCAAGTGTTCTCTTTGGAAAGAGCTTCCCATGGCCACTGTCTTTGATCTCCTAGAATTTATTACCTGTGATTTTTTGTATGAAAAGTCAAGATATATGCTGATACAGAGTATGGCCTAAACTTTCAAAAAAGCTGAAGTTGGATGCCCAAAAATCAAGGCACCTAAAATCACTAATCATGTTTGAAAATTTAGTCCTACATCTTTTTTTGTTGTTTGTATTTCTACAATGATTGATCATTCATGTTATGTCAGCTGAAACGTGATAATTGATGCTTTATATAGCATCTTTGATCCTGAAGGATTTCTGAGCACTTTGGCTAATACTTTCTAACTTGGTAACTAAATGCCTACTTGGACACCAAAATAAGTGTTCTGTAAATCATGCCACTTTCGTTTAGGGACCCTTGTTTGAAAATGTTGGCCTTTGCCTTTACCATTTTCTTTTTTAACCCCACTGCTTTCGCCAGCTGCTCCTACCATGTCTGTGTTTGATAACAAAAGCAGCCAGTAGAAGAAGAGACAAACTCCTTGTACTTGCTTTCAAGTCTCTGCACAACTCTGCTCTGGTTCTCATGTCTTCTTACACTTGACTTTCCTCTTCTCAAGTCATGCGCCTATCCAGCCCTTTATAATCTTCTCCCACTTTTGTTTCCATGCCTTCTTCCTTGCAATCCCTATGCCTGACCTTGCATGCGATGCTTTCATTGTCTCTCTCTCAAGTCCCTCCTTAGAACACACTTTCTTTGTGAAGATTTGTCCACTCAGCAGTTTTTATTTAAAAAAAAACAAAAAAAAACCCACTCAGCATTCTGCACAGCCCTGTGATACTTTCACCCTTTGATCACCCATTGCACTATCTTATTTGTTTAGTTAGACTGAGATTCTTAACAGCAGGGCTTCTGTTTCTTCTCATGGTGTTGGTGTTCTGCAAATCGTAAATTTAAAAAAAAAAAAAATCTGCCACTGAAATGCAACTACCTCTGGAGCAGAACACAAGCTTTTTAACAGCACACAGTAACACTACATAAGTACTGGTAAAGAGGAAGAATAATGTGTGCATTTGAAACTACGGAGTGTATTTTAGGCAGGTAGAATGTAATTTTTCAAATTGGAGTTCAGTTATGGCACCATAGTAAACACTTGTACAAATAGAGCTATAGGACCTCCATGTTACAGTATACGTGAAAGGTGACACTTCTGGCAGCAAGGTGCCTCTTGAAGTGTTTTTCTGCCTTAAACGGTGACTGCAAAAATGACATTGTGGGGTTCCATATTTATTGTCTCACTGGATTCCAGTATCAAGCTTTGTGCACTTCAAAAGTAAAAAGATACCCCCACTGCCTGCCAGCCTGGCAAACTCAACCTAGGAACTAAGTCATGCTGGGCTCTGTTCATCCCATACATCATCTCCAGTAATAGATTTTGCAGGCCAGATTATGGCCTTCAGTGACACCTTTGCAAACCCATTTAAGGCTGCCTGGGGCATAACTTCTTCCACTGAATTGAATGGGAATTTTGCCTGATTAAGGGCCTGCAGGCTCTAGCTTCAAATGCTGAATAAAGGAACACTTCTTCCTAAATGGCTAAATGTAGTTTTCAACCATCATCTGCTTGGCCATGCAATTGTTACCCAGCACCTCTAAATATCTACCAGATCCTTTGTGCCTGAGGATACCAGTTGATATATTTATCACTCCTAGTGATTTTCATTTGAGAGAGTGAAGAGTGGAAAAGTTTTCATCCGTGAAAGGAAGCGCATGTGTAAGTGAGACAGCTTGGCTGAGTTCAAAAGAGACAGAGCCTGCAGCAGTCGGGCTGGACTGATGTTCCTCTGGGTTTTGCTGTAACCTACTAGAAATAGACATTGGATTTAGGGAACCTATGGGAATAATTCTACAATCTTTAAAGTGTGTGTGTGTGTGTGTATGCATATATGTATGTATATATGCGTGTGTATAGTGTATATACATGCATGCTAATAGTTAGAGCGCTTGGTTTTTAGGATTCCTCCCGAGACATTCGGGAAGCACTTCATGAACTACTGTGCTGCACCAATGTCTCGACTAAAGAAGGCATCCATCTTGCACTGGTGGAGCTGCTGAAAAACCTAACCAAATATCCTACTGACAGAGAGTCCATATGGAAGTAAGTATTGCTTTTCTACACGCTTCTTGCTTTTCCACTTTTTTTAGCTTTCATATTTATTCTAATGACCAAGTCTTAAAGCCAGTAAATGTTTTATTTAGCTGAGGGGTACAGTTGCTACTTATATGATTTCTTGTTATCCTGTAAATATTCTGAACAGAAGTGGTACTAAGCATTTTTCACACTGACACCTGAAACAGAGATTCTTCTTCGAGTGCTTGTTCATGTGCATTCCAATCAGGTGTGGGCACGCTGTATGCATAGTTGTTGGAAAGTTTTCCCATAGCAGTTCCCTTCGGGTCAGCTGTGGAGCCTTCTGGAGTGGTGCCTTCATGGCACTCAATATATGACCCTGCCGACCCGGCCCCTCCTCAGTTCCTTCTTACCGCCAGTGACGGCCGATGGAACTGCTGTCGCTTGCTTAACAAATGCTTCCCTTAGCGTTCTTTCACATAGTTAGCTTAGCCTAGTTTAGTTGTAGTTAGTCTTAGTTATCGTCTATACAATATAGACGTTTGGGAGCGGGGTTTTCCCAACCCCTCTCCCCCTTGGGCCCCAGGGCATGCCGTGAGCCCAAGGCTTTAAACCCTGTGGAAACTGCAGCAAGCCTATGCCAATGAGCGACCCCCACGACTCGCGTCTGAAGTGTCTGGGGGAGGCGCACCAGACAGACTGGTGCAAGATCTGCAGGGCTTTCCTCCCCAGAACTGAAAAGGAGCAAGATTTCTGGCTGAAGCAGTTGTTCATGGAATCCACTTTGTCCCCAGTCTGCTGCAGACTGTCAGGACCCTGCACCGACTGTGTCCGTATGGAATTCCCCGGCATCAGTACATGACACGGTGCTGAGGAAGGACTCTAGTCTAAGAGACCCTTGGTACTGAAGTCTGGCATCGCAGGAGGCACAGACAACCCGGCACCCCTCTCATTCACCGATGCCGTACAACCAGCATAGACAAGCCGACGGGCCGCTCCCCAGTGCAGAAAACAGTGGGACCTGCAGGCGCGGTACCAGGGCATCCTGTGGGGGAGCCCTCAGCATTTAGGCAACAAGAGACGGCACCGTCGACTTCAGTTCCCACGGGGGTCCGTTGAGTGCGGCGCACAGCGACTCCCGGGATGGGCAGTGCCAAGTGGAGGAGTTGGAGTTACCATCCCCCACAGACACTTTTTGGAGCCACCAGACACTTGATAGGGATGACTGCTCCTCAGCCCTCGGTGATCAGAGATAAGCCCTTGGTGCCGTTGCAGTTGACGCCATCTAGAGGCAAGATGGCCATGATGCCGCAGTCACTCTCTCCGGCCCAGTGCTGTTTGCCTCAGCACCACTCCAGATCACTATCCTCAAGGCACTGTTCTCCGGCACCAGACTCCCCAAAGGGTTCCCCGGCACAAGGAGGGAGCAGCAGCAATCCCCGGCTCCAAGAGAGGACCAGCACCGTACCAGGACCAGTCCTCGGCACCAGATCTAAGGCACCGGTCCCCGATGCCAGATTCCCAGTTTCGGTCCCCGGCCCAGACATCTCGGCACCTGTCCCCTGCATCATCAACACGGCGCAGTTCTCCAGCGCAACACTATGCGGCGCCACCGTGGTCATCTCAGCTGAGATCCGTGTCTTCGGACTTGGATGGTGACTCGCACTATTCCCGTCGCAGCAGGCATAGATCCAACAAGCAACGGAGGGAGGTGCCAATGGCATGGCAAGCCCAGTGGCAGCCTCCAGCACAATGGCCCTTTTGGAGCCCCCGGGCTTACCATCAGGCCCAGGGCTCCCTTTTCAGGGGCTCCCATTTGGTGGCCTCAAGCACCGACCACCCCAGATAGCCAAGGACCGGCCTACGCCCCGTGGTTCTGAGGCTACCTTGGCGCAAGCCCCACAGCCAGCCCAGGTCACCTCCGAGGCATGACCCATTGCAAGGCCAGGCTACTGCCACCTTGGCTACGGTTGCCACAGAGGCCACAGATGCTGAACAGGAGGAGTTTAGGGAGCCGGAGGGTCAGGAGGACCCCGGACCACCTCTGGCCTCCTCATCTTCGTCCCTGGACGAGGCAGTAATGGGAGCTTCAACCTCGGGCCCTCCCCCAATTGACCACATGGCCCACCAGGACTTTCTACAAAGGATTGCCCGTAACATGGGGTTGCAGGCAGAGGAGGTGGTCAAGTCCGAAGACCCCATGGTCAACAGCCTTGCTCCAGAGCGACCATTCGGGGTAGCTCTGCCACGAATAAAAACTATCCATAGCAATATTAAGACTCTGGCAGACTCCTGCCTCAATCCTGCCCACCGCCGGGGGGGTAGAGTGCAAGTACTTTGTTCCCTCCAAGGGGTATGAGTACCTGTTCTGTCACCTGTAATCATGTTCTCTCGTAGTATCAGCGGTGAATGAGAGAGAGAGAGACCGGGGCAGCAAGGGCCGGCCCCCTAAATCCAAGGTGTTGGAAAGGATGGACCTTTTTGACTGGAAAATCTATGCAACTGGGGGCCTACAGCTGAGGATAGCTAACCAGCAAGCTATTCTCAGCAGGTACAACTTCAACTTGTGGGCCTCCATGTTGAAGTTTAAGGAGCTGATTCCACCAGGCTCCAGAGCCGAGTTCTCGGTGATCATTGATGAAGGGAAGGCAGTGGCGTGAACCTCCCTCCAGGCTTCACTGGACTCGGCGGACTCAGCTGCCCGCACCCTTTCCTCAGGAGTAGCCATGAGGAGGAGCTCATGGCTACAGGGGTCTGGGTTGCCCCCGGAGCTGCAGCAAACCCTGTAGGACTTACCATTTGAAGGCACAGGGTTATCTTTGGAGCGAACAGACTCCAAGCTGCACAGTCTCAAAGACTCCCTGGCAACTATGAAGTCATTGGGTATGCAGACCCCGGCAATATTTCAAGCCCCAACTGCAACTGCAGCGCCTATATCCTCCTCAGCTGAGGCAGGATTTTTATAGGCGTAGGGGCAGGAAGAGCAGGCACAAACCTTCCAGTCCCCCTTCTGGGCAGGGCCAAGGCCCAACCAACCTTCATCAGGCTCTAAAAAGGCCTTTTGAAGGTGCGCCCGAGGACGATGCACCTGCCGTTACACTGGATCCTTCCCCCTGTTTTATGAATCGTCTGTCCCACTTCTACCGTGCTTGGTCCCAAATAACATCGGACTGCTGGGTCCTTTGCATGGTAGAAGTGGATATTCTCTCCAATTCTGCTGCTCCTCCCTACCCTCCCGCCTCCCTTCCCCGTCCCTCTTCAGGGGCCTTTCTCATGAGCAACTCCTTATCCAGGAGGTGCAGACGCTTCTCGCAGCAGGGGCAGTGGAGGAGGTTCCTAAGGGGCAAGGGATTCTATTTCCGTTATTTCCTAATCCCCAAAGCCAAGGGGAGTCTCAGACCCATCCTAGACTCAACAGATTCATGATGATGATGAAGTTCTGCATGGTCTCCCTCAATACAATTATTCCTTCCCTGGATCGGGGAGACTGGTACGCTGCCCTCAACATGAAAGACACGTACTTTCACATAGCTATTCGACCTGCACGCAGACGATTTCTATGGTTTGTCGTCAACCAAAAACATTATCAGTTCACGGTCCTCCCCTTTAACCTGTCAACAGACCCCCGAGTGTTCACCAAGTGCATGTCGGTTGTAGCAGCCTTCCTCCGGTATATCCCTACCTCGACACCTGGCTGCTACGGGGGCACTCCAGGTAGCAGGTAGAGTCTCAAGTCTGATCATCCTAATCTGATCACTCAGGACCACAGCTGTCTTCACTACCCAGACTTCCTGTCCCTCCATCTCACGGCCTGGAAGGTTCATGGTTAAACCCCATGGAGCTTCTGTGCTTAGAACCAGTAAGAGTTTCCTCTTGGCAAGTAGGACTTCTATCTACTAGGGCCACATATCTAGCTAAGTGGAAAAGATTCACTTGCTGGTGTGCCCAGCAGCGTACACCTCCACTACAGCTGTCTATACCTCTCATTCTAGAGCACCTTCTGTACCTGAAACAACAAGGACTGGCAGCGTCATCCATCAAAGTACACATCGCTGTTATCTCAGCCTTCCACCCGGGAGCGTCTGGCAGATCCGTATTTGCTAACCCCATGGTAGGCAGTTTCCTTAAGGGTTTGGAATGCCTACATCCTCAGACCAGATGGCCTGTCCCAGCGTGGGACTTCAATCTGGTCCTCTCCAAATTAATGGGGCCCCCTTTTAAGCCAATAGCGACTTGCTCCCTTCTCTATCTACCATCCTGGTGGCCATCACATCACCTAGGAGGGTGTCAGAGCTAAAGGCCCTTACCTCCAGTCCACCCTACACAATCTTCCACAAGGAAAGGTGCAACTCAGGCCTCACCCAGCCTTTCTTCCCAAGGTAGTGTCACTCTTTCATACTAGCCAAGACCTTTTTCTACCTGTCTTCTATCCTAAGCCTCATGCCAGTAACCATGAGCAGAGGCTGTACTTTCTGGATGCTTGGCGGGCGCTAGCCTTCTACATCAAACACACTAAGCTGTTCAGGAAGTCAAACCAGCTGTTGGTAGCAGTAGCAGACTGGATGAAAGGACTCCCAGTCTCATCTCAAAGAATATCTTCCTGGATCACGTCCTGCATCCGCACATGCTATGAGCTGGCCAAGGTCCCAGCCCTGGCACTCACGGCACATTCCAGGAGGGCACAGGCCTCAGCAGCAGCATTCCTGGCTTAAGTCCTGATACAAGAAATTTGCAGGGCAGCAATGTGGTCTTCGGTGCATACATTCACCTCTCATTATGCTGTTACCCAGACGCCAGCAATGATGCAGCATTTGGCAGAGCAGTGCTTCAATCAGCGTTTCCTTAACTCTGACCCCATCTCTGGGGTGGAGCTTGGGAGTCACCTGATTGGAATTGACATAAGCAAGCACTCGAAGAAGAAAAAACGGTTACTCAGCTTCTCGTAACTGTTCTTCGAGTTGTGTTGTTCATGTCCATTCCAGTATCCACCCTCCTACCCTGCTGTCGGAGTAGCCGGCAAGAAGAAAATGAGGAGGGGCCGGGTCAGCAGGGTCATATATTGAGCGCCATGAAGGAGCCACTCCAGGGGGCTTCACAGCTGACCCAACGGGAGCTGCTAAGGGAAAACTTTCTGATGACTGTGCATGTGGCGTGCACACACCTGATGGGAATGGACGTGAACAACGCATCTCAAAGAACAACAATTACAAGAAGGTGAGTAGCCTTTTTTTTTATCTGCATATGTGCTTGTCTGCTTGCATAAAGGAGAACCTCACTAAGGACCATCCTAGTGACCAAATTATAAACAGCCACTTTAAAGTATTCACGTGGTTTCCAGTACAGTTTAGTTCAACCTAAAAACTAACCTCTACTAAACCATATGTTTCTGGTTAGTTAAAAGATTCCACTAAATATTGGCTTTGTTACCTTGGTTTTTGGATCCTATTATACCAGTTGACAGCTATATTGTTTATGGGCACACTTTGCTTTTGGGCGTGGGGAGGGTTCTACTTGAGTTCCATAGCAAACATTGATTTTCATGTACAATACACAAGAGAGTTGCTTTGCACTTTTTAAAATGGAAGCAACAAGCAAGTTAATACTATAGAAAATGTGGATTCAAATTTAACTGTTTTTATCCTTAGAAGCATTTATTTTAAGTGACTTTTTCTAAAAGCCTCTTATAGTATATTCTGAATATTTAATGAAAAAAAGGAAAGGATTGGTAAAGGTGGCAAGGTTATTAATTTTTGTAACATAGCACCCCAAAGTGTTTGGTATTTTGCAGACATGTAGCAAGACACGTTCCTACTCCCAAAGTGATTACAATTTAAGCAGACAATGTTAATTGTTGCTCCCTCTTTTTTCTAGTTATGTTTTTCAAGTTATATTTTGTTTCATGAACACTTGGGGTCCAACAAAACTACGACTGTTAGTTCTTCAGACTGTGTCTTTGGATGTGTATGCGCAGTGCCTAACTCTCTGGGGCCCTGATTCTGATTGGGGCCTCTCAGGGCTATTGTAATATAAATGTGAAATAGTATTAATAACACCATTGTTTTGTTAAATCTTCCTTGATTCAGAGATGTTCTTAACCTGTGCATTTTCAGGTGCTTAAAGTTCCTGGGATGCAGGCATCCTACTCTGGTGCTTCCACTGGTCCCAGAGCTGCTGAGTACACATCCGTTTTTTGACACCCCAGAACCTGACATGGATGACCCAGCCTGTATCCTTTTTTTTTGCTATCTGACAAAAAGTCCTTGCTGACTTGGTAGAATAATTATACATAGTTTTCTAATAATCAGATTCATTATACTGCTTTAGATTAAAGTAAACTCTTACAGCTATTTCAGTATGCAGTGTTGGTGTAGCCATGCTGGTCTCAGTGTATTAGAGAGACAAGATGGATGATAGTAATATCTTTTATAGGACCAACTTTCTGAGGTGAGTAAACTGGGTACATTGTAATTTGTTGTGTATGGGTCTGTCAGATAAGTCCTTTAAAGACCAAAGTCTGCATGAACCTTAAAGATCCATCAGCCCTTTCAGTAAGTGGAGGGTTTGCCATGGAGCATTTAACTAAAACTTCCCCTTCTTCCACTGTTCTGCAGTTCCGGTTGACTGGTGTCTTTCACTCCAGAGGTGACTAAATTATAGTGGAACTATAAGTTTATAGTTTGTGGGGCACTTCGGTTTCTCTCATAAATCTTGAATAAGTTAATGTTTGCACTGGGACATCTAAAGCACTGTATGTGCTAAGTGTTGTTGTCGTCATCATCATCCTTGGCAACGGAAGATGCAATAGAAATATAAAATTCTATTTTTCTTCTGTTCATTCTCCTCACTGCTCATCTCTGTAATCACACACACACACACAATTTTGTTTAAAATGCCTGACAACAGTTCAACTGGAACTTCTCTCTCCCCCTCTACTTCTGCAAAGTATAGTTTCTGTCTCGTGCGCCATCCACCAGAGCTTCCTGTGCAAATATAACCCTTTTAGGAATTGAAGAGAATCTGAATTGAATGCAAGGAGGGGTTTATATCTAACCAGATGGCTAATGCAATTAATTGAATACATTTTCCTTTTGAGTAAAGGCTTGGAGAAAGTTGGGTAAAGAGGACTCCATTTGAGTTAAATTGTTTCTTACTGCAGTCCAAAATAGGTTAATTTACAAAATCGTCTTCACATTACTTCCTAACTATAACTGGTTGATGCTGGTACTCTCCTTGCACCAGCCTGTCAGTGGAGCATACTGTAACATAGTACCTAGTATCTAGGCAGAGAGCTGTTTTGATTTTTTGCTCAGCATTTTTCTCCTGTTGTACAGAACTTTATAAATCTTCAGAAAAGGAAGTGTTCAATGTTTCTTTAACTTGCTACCATGAGGAAACTGAAAATGACCATTTTTTCCGTAACATCCCACTTCAATAGATATTGCTGTTCTGGTTCTCATTTTTAATGCTGCTAAAACTTGCCCAACAATGCCAGCATTGTTCTCGGATCATACTTTCAGACACTATGCCTATCTTCGTGACAGTCTCTCTCATCTTGTCCCTCCATTGAGAGTAAGTTGTTTTTGGGGTAACCAATCATTCTCTCAGTTGCTGTGAATATTTAGTGAGAACATTGTTCACTTGCCACTGGTATAACTTTTGTTTTCAGAAGACTGGCTTTCCGTCAGTGGGGTGAATGCTGCTGTATCTGTGAAGTGTGTGTGTACGAAATATTAACTCATTACAGTATGGATTTTGTAATATTTTGGGGTGTCTGAGAGAATAATCAACTTATTTTTCCATATAAAAGAGAAGAGTATAATCTACTGGATAGAAAAGGTGACTAGGAGGCAGGACTCCTGAGTTCTTTTCACAGCTCTGCAGCAACTGGGTGAAATTCACCCCTTTGCAGAGGACCTGCAACAAGGCCCATGCTTGACTTCTGTTCCACTTAAGCCCTGTGCTTACGGGTAGGATTGCCCCTTCATGCTGTATGCCCCAGTGTGCCCCCTCTACATGGGGAAGAATTTCACTGTGTGCGAACTTGGCAAAGACACTTCAACAAGCACTGTGCATCAGTATCCCTGTTTTATAGATGGAGAATGCCACCCTCTCAGGGGTTGAAGTTTAATTGTAGAGTACATTGAGATCCTTGGATGGGGAGGGGTCTCTGAACTGCAAATTGTTGTATATTGAAGATGTGAAACTGAAGGCGTTGATGCAAATTCTGAACTAGAAAAGTATGTTGTAGTTCCCACTTTGTAGATTCTTGTTTAAATGGTGACACACAAAATTGTGACCATGTGAATTTTGTCATCTGGATTTAGCTTTTTTGTTTTTTGTTGTTTTCCCTTTTGCTCAGTTGCCAGGTAGAAAACTAGTATCCTCCCCTGTTTCCCCCAGTGTTACCCCTCATGAAGATCCTTCCCAGCAGTTCCTGCAGCAGAGTCTTGAGAGAGTTTACAACCTTCAGCACCTAGACCCACAGAGCACACAGGAGCTGCTTGAATTCACCATTCGGTAAGGCTGTGTACTTTTAAGCATTTTGAGATCTAGTGATGAAAATAAGAGCTAAGTATTATTATTACTAATCATTGTCAGGAAAATTGTTATAATTCCCAGCTCTCTGAAATGCCTACTGTGGTTCTAGATGTTGTTGTTTAATTTCCCAGTTTGGGCTCTTAGACTGAACCTTCTGAAGAGAATGTTGTGAACAAGATTAGGCCTATATGAAGTGAAATGTGTGGTCCCAGACCTATTTCTGCTCAGATGCAGTTGGCTCCTTTGACAGTCTCAACAGGGGCCATAGCTTTAACAGGCGTGTAGAGTGAACTACCATCTTGTATTTAGAGAGGAGGTCCTTCCAGGACAGGATAACGTTGGGGAAACTTGCACTTCACAGAACAGGAGCAGCACAGACAGGCAGGGCTGGATTAATGCAGGGGCTTTAGGGGCTGCAGCCCAGGGTCTCGGGCTAAGGGGGGTGCCGGATGTAGCCCACTGCTTCTTTTCCTTCGTCCCGCAGCAAGTCTCTGTGCTGTGAGCCGGACACCAGTCCCCGAACCTCAGCACGCCCCCCTCACCACTCTGGGCTGGAGCCGCAAGCACCATCTCACTGATGTGCCCCTGCGGCCCCTAGGCAAGGGGCATTCAGGGAATCTCTGCCCACTGCCCTCAATACCAGCTCCGCAACTCCCTTTGGCTAGCCAATGGGAGTTGCGGGGGGCGGCGCCTGCAGGCGCGGGCACTGTGCAGAGCAGTCTGGCCCCTCTGCCTAGGGGCCGGACATGCCAGCAACCTCAGGGAGCAGAGCAGTGCAGAGCCAGGGCAAGCAGGAATCCTGCCTTAGCCCTGCTGCATCGCCGACCAGGAGCTGCCTGAGGTAAGCGCCTCCTGGCCGGAGCATGCACCCTGCACCCCTAACCCAGCCCGGAGCCACCTTCTGACCACAACCCCCTGTCCCAGCCCTGAGCCCCCCTCCTGCACCCAAACTCCCACCCAGATCCCGCACCCCAAACCTCCTGCTGCGCCCCAACCTCCAGTCTCATCCCTGGCCCCAATCCCGAGCTCACCCCCCCAGCTGGAGCAGCACCCCTCCCGCATCCCAGCCCTGAGCCCACTCCCCCACTCTAAACCCCCAGGGGTCTCACAAAATCTAATAGCCCTGGGCCCACAGGAGTGTTAATCCAGCCCTGCAGGCAGGGGATAAATAGGACTTCAGTCTCTAGGGCTGTCAATAATATCCATGGGTTCTCTGCTCAGTGGCCCACTCTGGGTCACTCATTTCGACCCTGTGACCTGCATACCTGTCCCTTTTTATTCAATTTTTGTCCCCTCTACTCCATTGATTTCTGAGTTCTGTGGCCCCTCACTTACTGGAGGGTACAGATTTCCGCTGCTTGGTGGGTTCTGCCCACCAGTCCTAATCATCAAATAGTTTGGTCATTTTCACCAATACTAAATTCACAGGAGAGATTTCTCCCCAAATAGGCAACATTATTATGCACCACGGTCTGCCTTGGTATAGATAAGGATTCAGTATGGCTTTTAAATGAAGGTTTTGTGCTGCCTTTTCCATTTCCAATTCATCTACTGATTGATTGGTTGGTTTTGCATGAACAAAAGACTCAGAATTTTTTTCCACGTGCCTTGTCTCTTGGACAGGAAAAGGATCCTTAGTTGAAAGGCAGGAAAGTACTGGACAATGCAATGAAAAAGATCTCAAAGGTGGATGCAGCATTCCATATAGGTTTATTTTCTCTTCCAACTTATCTTTGCTGTGCAGCCATAAATCACCTTTACTACCCATTGTAAGGAATAAACAAAGTGGTATTCATTATTGAAAACGTGAGTGTGAAAGGTGGATGATGCGTTTCTGGTCCCCAGCTGTTCAGAAGCTACTGCACACAGAATAAAAATTATCTAGGGAATGTTTTAGGAATTAAATGTTGTAGCTGTATGTAGGTGATTTCTTAGCAGAACATCTGAAATCTCTGAAGCACAAAACAGCTATAGAAATCTCATAGGAGCTGTGAATGCTTCCCTAAGCTGGTGACGAGATGCACTTCTGGTGTGTATATGTGGCAGAGGGCCACATGTGCAGCTTGTACAAAGAGACAACTTAATCAGGAGACAGCATTGGGAATTATCTCCATATCTGCCTTTCTGCTGCGACTACAGGCAGTACCGCAGTCCTAGGACTGTACTAAACTCCTTGCCCTTTGGCTTTTTTCGGAGGGAGGGAGGGACTTCTGTGCTTTTTAAAAAATATATGGATACGACTTTGTTCTGTTCATGGGTTTTTTTGGGGTGGGCAAGAGGCTGCTACCTTGACTGTTGGGTGGGGTGGGGGTGGAAAGAGTTCATGGCAGTGGGCTTCTTCCTTTCTTGTAACTGCGTTTAGCTGGGAAAGTAATTTTCCTTTCAAGCCAGTGAGGTGGTGTTCCCTAATGCTTAGAGCACATGACTGAGAGTGGAGGTATCACAGGTTTTTTAGCCAGTCACTTAACATCTCTAATATGTTCCTCAGTTTCCTTATGTGTACAGTGGGGCTCATGCTTACCTTGCAAGGGTGTGGAGGCTTAAGAATGTTTATACAGAAATAAGTACAGAATTGTCAACCACAGAAGCTTTGAAGATGGTGTTCTAGTTATTTGGCTGACTATTCACCAGGGAAGAGCTCCCTTCCCTCCCATTAGGATGTTGGGGACAAATTGAGTGTGACATGGTGACGGGACAATAGGGAGTCTGCAGTTCTTCTCCTTTAATCCCTCCCTTACCAAGGAGAAGGGGGGACTTGACTGGCTTTATTGCAGTTGCATCTAAGGAAGAAGCTGCCCCTCTGATTCGGAAGTAGCTTCTCTGGGTACAGAGATTGGGATTCTCTCAGACCCTTTGTAGGCTGATGACTGCTGAGGCAAATTTCAGGTTCAGTAGAGCTTTAATCTGGGAACTACTTCAGAAATACAGGAGCAGCCTGGCTAAAATACGAGAGATGAAGCTTTCTTAGTCAAATAAGTTATTTCTTATTTCTATAGCATACCTACAGCAGGGGGATGCAAGAAAACAACACAGTGATTTTTTAAAAAACTGGAAAGACTAAATCACAAAGCAAAATGCAGAGTGAAAAATGAGAAGGTGGACTCTGCATTTTGTATCTCTGATTTCTACAGAGCTGAAGATAAGGTTTCTTTTTTAGTAGAAACCCAGATTTTGTTTAAAATTCCACACAAACTGGAGTAATAAAACTCTGCATATTCAATTAGGGTTTGTTTACACAAACATTTAATTCACAGCAAGCTGGGGTGTGAATCTGCCACACACTAAGTGTCCCTGAGGATCCTGCTGACGCGCTCTGAAAGTTCATTCATGTGCTTTGATCTATCCCACTTTGAAACAGGAGTAGATTAACGTGCAGTAATGAACTGTTATGCACATTAGCAGTGTCCACACTGACATTTAATGCATGGCAGGCTTGTATGGGGTAAATTTACACCCCAACTTATCTAAACAAAATGTGTTTGTAGATGTGCCTTTAGTTTGCCCTGTCAGCATAATCTAGGCAGTGGATGTGGCTGATTGTTCTACTGGTGTTTGAGCGATTACCTGTTGTGCGTTGCATTAAGTAACCGGCTCTCGTAAACTATACATCAGACTTACAAAATAAGTTGTATTTCAGAAATGCAGCTATGTTCCAAATATAATTGGCTACATGAATCCAATATGTTCCAAGGTATCTCTTCCAGCTAGCATCAGAAGAGAGATTTCCCAGCAGTTTAATACAAGTTGGTTGTTTGCTGCTCTACGAATATCTGGAGTGTTGGCATTAAATCTGGAGCCACCATGCTGTATGGTTCCCATAGGGATGCAGAGTAATGCAGGATGACAGACTAACTGCTGCTCATGTCAGCCTACAAGAAGGGGAGAGAAGCTAACAGGTCCCCAGGTGCAGGCTGCTCTGACATGCATGTTTTGCTGCTGTTAATGGGGGTGGTTATAGGGGTAGACAGAGGTAAAATACAGAAATAGGTATCTTTGGCCTTGCCACTGCTGCAGGATTTGGAATGTGTTAAAATTGACATATGTCAATTGACAAACTGTCTCTTTTTTACAGTGCTTTATGGTGGTGTTTTAGTGTATCTGAATTTTGCATTTTCTCTTATTTGCTCCAGTGATCTTCAGAGGCTTGGAGAACTTCAGTCAGAACTGGCAGGGGTGGCAGACTTCTCCGCAACTTACCTTCGGTGTCAGCTGCTCCTCATCAAGGTTAAGCTTCATCCGTGTTCCTAGGGCCTAGAATTATGTTGTAATTGGCTGTGTGTGTTTGCCAGCACAGTGCTGGGCAGATCTTGCACTTTCCATATTTCATGTGTGCTAGTGAGTCTAACCACTTACAAAGTCTGCTTTAGGAAAAGTGATTTATGGTGAAATCGTGGATCCAATGGTGCTCTGAGCATAAGACGGGGAGTAAAGGGCTCTTGAGTTTTGTAGCCTGATCCTATAATGGTTGCCAGTGTGATTCATTTAATGAGATGAGTGTAGTATGGTTCTTGCCCCAGAATCAGACACAACAGAATCAAAATTGACACGGTCAATATCTTTTAGGGAACCCTGGGGTGTATGGCCAGGGCATTCACACACAGAATCAAAATGCAACCTTAACCATCTTTATTAATACAGTTAATAGAGAAAAGGAAGCCCCAAACCAATAGCATTAATAGAGTGTTAAAGAGATCTTAAATGTTATCTCTTGCATAGCATATATTCACAGGCTTATATTTGCATACCACCAGATCTCCAAGAAAGTGGTAAGAGACAAAGGACCAGCCCTGTTTCTGGCATGCCAAATGGGTTTGATGGACCTGATCCCTAATGCTTGAAGATAGGTGATAGATAATAGCTCTAAAATATTGAAGGGTGAAGGGCTAGCTTCCTCTTCATGTGGGTTCTTGCTTATATAGAGCCAGGGAAGCACCATGAATAGTCATACAAGTACCTAGCCTCCTCTGTCCATATCCAACTTCCTCGCCCTCATAATAGTGGGGTTCCTTTACCTGGTAGGCTAGCATATTAATCCCTATTTGCTCATTACTATATTGCTAAAGCAAGTTTGTGGTTAAACATCTATCAACGATCCTATCCTAAAATATCCAAGCTTAGTATCAGTTCAGTATTCCTGCGATTGCCTTGTCTCATTTTATGCCAACTTTTCTCTTAAGCAAGCTATTCCTAGTTCCCCAAACTCTAGGGTGACTGTTGGGCCACTTGATCTATGCAAAAGGTCATAGGCCTATGCTTCATTTATGCTAATTTGCTTAAGCCAATGTTTTACAAGATGCAGGCCTGTAGGTTCCTTGTGTTACTGCTAGATAAAATCAGTGCTAAGCTGGCCCTAAGGGCTAAGGTTTTTAGCCCAGCTCTCACACTACTTCCCCTCTGTGCCTTTGGGCAAATCAATTAGACTTTGTTTATACTGTGATTTTAGCCACCAATGTGGCTCCACTGGTATAAACCATGCACCAGGGGAAACTTTGTGTACACAAGGGGTTTGCACAGTGCAGCTACACTGGCTTGAAATCCCAGTGGAGACAAGATCATGGACCCTTTGCTGACGATGGTCGTTGGTAATGGTTCTAGCGAAACTGGTGCTGAAAGTGGTTTGCCTGCTGATGGAACAAAGCTGTTTTCAGTACTATACAGAAAAGATTCCTAAGACTTGGAGCAGTCTTAGATGTGCTCTCTGTTATCATATTGAAAACAGTTCCATACATTTTACAATAGCAAGTAAACTGTTTTCACCCACTAGGACAACTGTTGTCAACAGAAGGTCAGTTTCTTAGCATAGACTGGAACTTAAATTCTCTGCCTCATTTCTTCATCTATAAAACAGAAATAATACAATAACTCCTAACTTAACGTTGTCTCGGTTAATGTTGTTTTGTTGTTATGTTGCTGATCAATTAGGGAACATGCTCTTTTAAAGTTGCGCAATGCTCCCTTATAATGTTTTGCAGTCGACTGCTTTGTCCACTGCTTGCAGGAAGAGCATCCCGTTGGAGCGAGCTGGTGGGGGCTTGGAACCAGGGTGGACTGGCAGCCCCGCATCAGCTCCCTGTTTCCTGTGCGGCAGCCACCTAGCAGGCTATACATTGCTGGGCAGTTCCGGTGTCCCTCCCCCCAGTGCTGTGTGCTGCTCCTGCCCTCTGCCTTGGAACTGCTCCCTGGAGCCTCCTGCTTGCTGTGCAAAGGGGTGGGGAAAGAGGGATGCTAATATCAGGGTATCCCCCTCCCCCCACACCTGCCCCCCATCTCCACAGAGCAGGGGGGACACAACAGGACTTAAGACGGAGGGAGCTTCCTGGCAGCAGCTGCTGTCTGAACTTGCTTATCTACTTAAAAAGGCAGTGTACTTAGATGGGGTGAGTGTACTTAAAGGGGCAATGTGGATCCTTCTCTGTCACACACTGTGTGTGTGTGTCTCTCTCTCTCTCTCTCACAGTGTGCGTGTGTCTCTCTCTCCATGCATGCTGCCTTGTAGAGTGTGAGGCTACATTAACAACAATGGGTTAACCCTTGAGGGCTCAGCTGAGGGCTAGTGCATCATTTAGCAGCAAGGCATTCCCTGGGAAATATCCCACCCTCTGACTCCACCACCTCAACCAAGCTTCACAATCATCATCGCTGTGTACAGTATTAAACTGTTTGTTTAAAACTTATACTCTGTGTGTGTATATATACATGTATGTATGTATGTGTATATATAGTCTTTATCTGGTGATAAAATTTTCCCTGGAACCTAACCCCCACTATTTACATTAATTCTTATGGGGAAATTGGATTTGCTTAACACTGTTTTGCTTAAAGTAGCATTTTTCAAGAACATAACTACAATGTTAAGCGAGGAGTTACTGTACTTACCTAACTTCCAGGGATGTTGTGAAGATTAATTTAGTGTTTGTACAGGCTTTGAAGATCTACTGTATAAGTGCAAAGCGTGAATGATTTTTGAATGATTCCCTTCCAGAAAAATAACTAAATTGCCTAGTAAAATAGAGGATGGTTATAAAAATGTCATTCTTTGCTCTGTGTGAATTTTCCACTTGGCTTCTCTCAATGTTAGGCCAGGCAAATCTTCAAGTAAATTTGCAACCCAAAGACGGTATTACATATAAGCAGATACAGCTCAATGCACTAGTCAGTAGCTGGGACAGCAGCTTTTTGCAGAAGCAGTATGTGCTGCCCATGCAGAGTATCGGGGCTTGAGAGTTACCTTGACAGTTCCTCTCCTTCAGAGGGTTGATTGGCGTGAACCTGTTTAAATTGGAGAAGGGGATATGCTACCTTGTCCTCCTCGCAAAAATAAGTTCTTTTTGTAGGAGGTGGAAGGACTCTACTTGAAGGTTGTCTCAGGTGAGGGAAATGCTCATGCCGAGGTGAGAAGATCCATCGCAAAGCAACGTGGAAAAGGCAGTGATCTTTCTAAACTACTCATGATTTCATAATACCTGGAAAGACCATACAATTTAAAATCCTAAACAGATTGGAAAGTGACCCTTCCAGTGCCACGTCAGCTCCTTTCATTAGGAAATTAACACTCGACTAAAGTATTTCCTGTGACAGAATAGAAGCACTTAGGAGCAAATCCTGTCCCTTCTCAGCCTCTCTGGGATCAAGGGGTCTCAAACATAGAACTAAAGCTGTTCCCTCATGCATGGGGCTGGTGGGCCAGGATTTTAAGAGCCGGTCCAGATAGTGGATACACTGCATGTTCTGAACTTTGGCTCCTGGAGTGTTGCTGTGCAGTCATATGGAAGGGAAGATGGGTTGGGAGAGGTGGACAGTGTAGGGGGTGGAGCATGGCAGTGGATCTCCCTTGCTGATTCTGTCACAAATCATCAGAAAACAGTAGATACTTTGGTTCCAGTGTCAGTAGCTGTGATTATCCAGTAGTCTTAGTAACTCACCAAATCTTCTCCATTGTTTTTTGGTGGGGATGGAACTGCCTACAGAGGTGTCCTAGAATATTACTGGCCTTCTGAGAACAGGCTGTTATGGTTGCCTGAAACCTGATGGTTCCTGATCTCAGTCTGAGAAAGTGGTAATCATCCAGGATAGGAGAGTGTTTCTAGTTTTCTCAATATCCATATCCTGTATCTTTTAAAGAATACTTTATACTAAAGATATTCTGGCAAATAGTTAATAAATTCATACTTGAAGTATAGCTTTCTACATGTGAAACTATGGTGGGGATAAGGCATATGTGTTTACTTTATTTTATTTTATGGAGTTTTCAGATTCCTCCATTTTCTATTTTGCTCATATTTTTAAAAGCACCCCTGCATCAGGCTGACACGTTCACCAGGAATGAAGAAACTGTGAATGCTGTCTTTTGAGCAGCAAGGAGGGGTTGTCTGGGAGACATAAAGCACTCCCTCTTCCTGTGTTGTTCCTAAGCCCTGTTAGCACAGGAATATAACTTCATTTTCACTCTCAAATTATCGTGTTGGACATTTAGCAGTATTCCATGGGTTTCTTTTGTAGGCCCTTCAGGAAAAACTCTGGAATGTGGCAGCTCCTCTCTACCTGAAACAGAATGCTTTGGCATCAGCTGCTGCAAAACAGGTGAGATTGTAGGATCCATGTCTTCATGAGGGCAAGTCCTCTGGGCAAGGACCTTCCCTCATGTGTTTAGATGTGCCATATGTCTCCGACTATTTTAAGTAAAATAGACTATTTTAGTAATCTTGGATTCCAAAAGCAATGTGAATTGTGTGTGAGGTGTGGGATGAATGCTAGGCTGACTTGTATGTAACTCCACATGTACCGAAGATACTCAGGATTGCTTGGATGCTGTTTGTTTGTTTTTTTAAAAGAGAAAACTACACACACAGCAGATAATTGGGTGATATCTAAATTATGAATCAACCATCTGATTGAAGATATTATAATTATGTAGCACTCCACATTCAACATATTTAAATGCCTGTGGGAAACTAAAAGTTCTCTGCATGTCGTCTTCAAATGAAGATCTACGTAGGCTGATTTTGTTGCAACTGAGTCTGAGACTAACTGGTCTGACAGTCGCTTACAAGATCAGCTGTGCTGAAGTCACCATAGAATCATAGAAATGTAGGGCTGGAAGGGACCTTGAGAGGTCCTCAGAGCCCGCCCCCCCCTTGCCTTAGGCATGACCAGATAAACCTAGACCATCCCTGACAGGTGTTTTGTCTAACCTGTTCTTAAAAAGCTCCAAGGACAGGGATTCCACAACCTCTCTTGGAAGCCTATTCCAGTGCTTACTTTCCTTACAGTTAGAAAGATTTTCCTAATACTTAGCTTAAATTTCCCTGGCTGCAGATTAGGCCGATTACTGCTTTTCCTAGCTTCCATGGACATGGAGAACAATTGATCGCTGTCCTTTTTGTCACAGCCCTTAACATATTTGAAGACCGTTATCAGGTCCTCCCTCAGTCTGTTTACAAGACTAAACATGACCAGTTTTTTTAACCATTCCTCTTTGGTCAGGTTTTTCTAAACCTTTTATCATTTTTGTTGCTCTCCTCTGGACTTTGTCCAGTTTGTCCACATCTTTCCTGAAGCGTGGCGCCCAGAACTGGACACAGCACTCCAGCTGAGGCCTCACCAGTGCCAAATAGAGCAACGCAATTACCTGCTGTCTTCTTATTTCCTCGGATCTAGTACCATCTTGGCTGACGGTACTTCCAAGATACGTAAAATTGCCCACCTTCTCCAGTTTCTCTTCTTCAATTTTGATTTCTCTCCCTTTAGTCCCCATGAACATGACTTAACATTTCTTTGCAGTCTATCTCAAACCTATCTTCTCCATTACTTCTTTTACTTGGTTTGTGCATTTTTGTAGTCCGTTGGCATCTTCACTGATAAGAGCGATGTTGTCAGCAAAGTCGAGCTCAAATAGCCTTGAATATGTATAGGCCATATGTAACACTGTTTTAAACCCGCTGCCTATTAATTTCATTTTGTGGCCCCTAGTTCTTCTGTTATGAGAAGGAGTAAATAACACTTCCTTATTTACTTTATCCACACCAGTCATGATTTTATAGTCCTCTATCATATCCCCCCTTAGTCGTCTATTTTCCAAGCTGAAAAGTCCCAGTTTTACTAATCTCTCCTCATACAGCAGTCATTGCATACCCCAATAATTTTTGTTGCCCTTTTCTGAACCTTTTCCAAGTCCAACATATTTTTTTAAGATGGGGTGACCACCTCTGCACTCCGTATTCAAGATGTGGACATACCATGGATTTATATAGAGGCAAGATGATATTTTCTGTCTTTATTATCTATCCCTTTCTTAATGATTCCCAACATTCTGTTCACTTTTTTGACTGCCGCTGCACATTGAGTGAATGTTTTCAGAGAACTAACGATAATGACTCCAAGATCTTTCTTCAATGGTAACAGCTGATCCAGACCGCATCATTTTATATGTATAGTTGGGATTATGTTTTCCAATGTGCATTACTTTGCATTTCTCAACATTGAATTTCATCTGCCATCTTGTTGCCCAGTCACCCAGTTTTGAGAGATCCTTTGTAGCTCTTTGCAGTCTGCCTGGGACTTCAGTATCTTGTGTAGTTCTGTATCATCTGCAAATTTTGCCGCCTCACTGTGTACCCCTTTATTGAGATCATTTATGAGTTTGTTGAATAGGACTGGGCCTAGTATAGACCCCTGGGAGACACCACTATTTACCTCTCTCCATTCTGAAAACTGACCATTTATTCTTACCCTTTTTTCCCTATCTTTTAACCAGTTACCAATCTATGAGAGAGCCTTCCCTCTTATCCCATGACAGCTTACTTTGCTTAAGAGCCTTTGGTGAAGGAGCTTGTCAAAGGCTTTCTGAAAATCTAAATACAAATCTAAGCTTTACCCATGTTTAATGTTGATAAGACCCATGATGCTGCTACCCTGAAAATGACAGAGAGCATGCACAGAAAAGCCAGAACCGGGGACTCCAAATAGAAATAGAGGAGAGAGAGAGCTATTCAGCAACCTGGAAACAAACCTAAGCCGGAAACAAGTGTCTAATCCTGTTGAGAGAAGATATTGATTATTTGAGTCTCCAGTTAATTAAAATGTAGTAAAGAGACAGCTATCACTGTCTGTCAGAGCCCACTATGCTATAAACAGCTGTCTCCAGAGACTGGTGGAAACAAAAGTCTATTAGGCTTGTATAGCTTTCTCTAATTGCAATTTCCAGAGTAGCAGCCGTGTTAGTCTGTATTCGCAAAAAGAAAAGGAGTACTTGTGGCACCTTAGAGACCTACCAATTTATTTGAGCATAAGCTTTCATGAGTTACAGCATCCGTTGCAACCGATGAAGTGAGCTGTAGCTTACAAAAGCTTGTGCTCAAACAAATTGGTTAGTCTCTAAGGTGCCACAAGTACTCCTTTTCTAATGGCAATAACTTTACTGGCAGCTCTGCCCAGCAGTACACAGACCCCTCGGCTAAGATACTTGGTCTGATTGCACATGCAGCTCACTCCCAGAAAATGAGAGGAGAGGGCAACCTTTCTTATAGTGTAACTTGGTGGTACTTGAGTTCAATATGAAGTGCTACTTGCAGAGAAGTTAACAACCTTCTTTAATAATCTAAGCACTTCTCCAATTTATTTGTGCACGTTTTATATGTTACATTATTTGATTATAGTAGAACATCGCAAATGGGATAACTTATTGCCTAAACTTTGAACTATATATTTTAGAGAATCCAGAACGACATGTATATTTGGTTTTGTAGCTGAAGCTTGAAATTGAACGTGGAGCATTCCTGACTGTAAAGTTGATTGCAAGAGGATTGGACACTTTTTAAAAATCAAAATCCAGACAAACCTGAAACTGCCCATTTAGATCTTAAACTTGAACAGGGTCTTTGTGGGTGCTGTTTCCTGCTTACAGTAGGATAGCACAAGAGGTATCAGGACAATTATTACAGGAGTGGGTTAGTGGGCACAAAAAGCTTACATTGTGGGTGGTTTGAGATAGGATGCAGGGAGAGATGACATCAAGAAAGAGAGAGGGATGGGTAAACAGCACATAGACACCTTCTGTGAACATCCTTGTTTTTGGAAGGTTTCATGCATTGTATTTCTTTTAATTTATCTAGGGCTAGATTCTAATCCCCCTTACACATGTTTGGTACTACCTTATTCCATGAATGGTTCAAGTGAAATTATGAGACTGAGATGCATGAGTAAAGGTTTCTGACTCTGGTGACCACACCCACACAGCAGCTGAACAAAATCTGACCCCGTTAATCGCATGTTTTTTATATTGTAGATTATGGAAGAAACTTACAAAATGGAGTTTATGTACAGTGGCGTGGAAAATAGACAAGTGGTCATTATTCACCACATGAGACTGCAAGCGAAAGCATTACAACTTATAGTGACTGCACGTACTACTAGAGGGTAAGAATTACCTGCAGGGGAGGCTTCTTGAATTGGGTTAACTGTAAAAATCCAGTTCTCTCAAGCTTGGTTGCAAATGACAAAGATAACTTACATAATCACATGCAAATAACGGGTGTGTTGAGAATGAGATAGTTTCTTCATTTATCTTCAAAGCACCTGCTGAGCTACACAGCATAAAGTCAAGTTATGAACTTGCTAGCAGTGTACAAATCATTTGGGTTTTTTCCTCTGACACAAGGATATGAAATACATATCTAATCACTTCTAATTTGATGGGGCATCATTCATTTTAGATCTGAAAATTTGGAGTTTATTTAAATAGGAAAATGTCAGATGCATATTAAAAAAAAAATACCCATCATGTTTATATTAATGGCTTACCCTATAAGCTTGTTAATGAGTCTTTTCTGTTAGAAAAGAAAAAAAAATCTTTTGACTGATTTATTTTTGCAGTGGATGTTTTAGGCACTAGTATTGCAAATACTTAAGCATGTGCATAACTTTGATCAGATGAGTGGCCCTGTTTAGTTCAATTTGATTATTCAAATGAGTAAAGTTACACACGAGTTTAAGTGTTTGCAGAATCAGAGCCTTATGTTATGTCTGTACTGGAGCTGGAAGTGTGTGAGACATACCTGCAGTAGCTCTGATCAAGCTGGTGCACTAAAAATGGAAGTGTAACTATCATGGCATGAGTGGTGGAAGGGACTAGCCATCCCAAGTACATACATGTTCAAGATGCTAACTATGTACTTGGGCAGCTAGTCCCTCCCACTGCTCAGGCTGACATGGTTACACTTGGATTTTTAGTGTGCTAACTCAATCAAAGCTAGTGCGGATATGCCTCCTCAAGCTGGCATGTACACCTTCCAGGTGCACTGTAGACATAGCCTTAGTTTGTCATGGTTAGGGCACAATATTAGGAGGCTGGGTTTTTAGTTTTTATTTCCAGCTGTAACACAGAGTTGCCTTGGGAAGTCACTTAACCTATTTGCTTCTCAGTTTCCCATGTTACAATGGGAAGTTAATACTTTCTTCACAGAGGTAAAGACTCTGTTTAAACGCAAAGATTAATTTTATGAAACTGTCATGCTGGCCTCTCATCTTTAAGATCTTGCGCTTTCCACAAGCACAAGATGTTCCAAAATCTCTAGATACTTTTATCATGCTGGTAGGATTATAGCCAGTTTTTTAATTGGGGGAGAAAAATAAAAGGAACCTTTTATCTTCATTTCAGAGTGGAACCCCTTTTTGGAATGTGTGAAAATTTTTTACAGGAAGTGGATTCTTTTCAGAGGTGAGTGTCCCATTGCTCTTTCCCTTTCTATTAAAATATATAATCTCAAGAACATTGATACAAAATCCTTTCTCAACAAAGCTGAAAATAAACATGTTATATGTAATTAATAATCTCAAATAGACTGTGTCAAACTACTCTTAAACTTTTAAGATATATGTAATTCTAAAAAATAAAAAAATCCAAAGTTGCATAGTATAGAAATATTCTGCTCTCGATCTACACAATGGGTTTCATCTTTGATATCTGGCTTTCTTTGCAGTTCTTATTGCCACCAATGAGATCTGTGCATATAGGGCCTGATCCTGCACTTATTGAACTCAATTAGATCAATTGTGTAGAATTGGGGTTTTAGCAAAAACAGAAAAGAACCATGTAAGGAGAGAATCACTGGGCAGTTCCAAAAACAGAATCTCTCCTTCCCCCCGTTTTCATTAATGAATGCACCATGTAGATTATTGAAAAGCTTCTTTTCTTCATTCTTTTCTTCATATCTTCATAAATGATCTGGAGGATGGTGTGGATTGCACTCTCAGCAAATTTGCGGATGATACTAAACTAGGAGGAGTGGTAGATACGGTGGCAGGTAGGGATAGGATACAGAGGGACCTAGACAAATTGGAGGATTGGGCCAAAAGAAATCTGATGAGGTTCAACAAGGATAAGTGCAGGGTCCTGCACTTAGGATGGAAGAACCCAGTGCACCGCTACAGACTAGGGACCGAATGGCTAGGCAGCAGTTCTGCGGAAAAGGACCTAGGGGTGACAGTGGACGAGAAGCTGGATATGAGTCAACAGTGTGCCCTTGTTGCCAAGAAGGCCAATGGCATTTTGGGATGTATAAGTAGGGGCATAGCGAGCAGATCGAGGGACGTGATCGTTCCCCTCTATTCGACATTGGTGAGGCCTCATCTGGAGTACTGTGTCCAGTTTTGGGCCCCACACTACAAGAAGGATGTGGATAAATTGGAGAGAGTCCAGCGAAGGGCAACAAAAATGATTAGGGGTCTGGAACACATGACTTATGAGGATAGGCTGAGGGAACTGGGATTGTTTAGTCTGCAGAAGAGAAGAATGGGGGTGGCGGGTGATTTGATAGCTGCTTTCAACTACCTGAGAGGTGGTTCCAAAGAGGATGGTTCTAGACTATTCTCAGTGGTAGAAGAGGACAGGACAAGGAGTAATGGTCTCAAGTTGCAGTGTGGAGGTTTAGGTTGGATATTAGGAAAAACTTTTTCACTAGGAGGGTGGTGAAACACTGGAATGCGTTACCTAGGGAGGTGGTAGAATCTCCTTCCTTAGAAGTTTTTAAGGTCAGGCTTGACAAAGCCCTGGCTGGGATGATTTAATTGGGGATTGGTCCTGCTTTGAGCAGGGGGTTGGACTAGATGACCTCCTGAGGTCCCTTCCAACCCTGATATTCTATGATTCTTATGGCTTGTAGCAAATGCCCCAAGATCATAATCATCTCAGATTATTAGCTAACGGATTTAAAAATCTTCTGCAGTTTTTGGCTTCTAATAGGCTGACAGTTGATTTCTCCACTTTTTAATGTGGCTATCACTGTGGTATCTGTGATTGTCCATATGCATTCCACTTCTGGTGTGCATGTGCCAGATGAGATTTTTTGGAGCTTGGGGTTGTGCCTGGATGCCCTTGCTCACCACACACCCATGGGCATAAAAACAGAATGAGCTCAACTGTCCCTCAGTTCCTTGTTACCATCCATGGCTGCAAGACAGATCCCCTGCAATGTCCACTTCTCTGCACACTGTGCAACTTTACTGAGTACATATAATGGGGGGGGAGGGGAGAAGACACTACATTATGTTACATTAGTGTGAACAAAACCCCTCTTATTAGTGTTATGGACTTCCCTGTATGGCTGCAATCAAGCCTTTTGGGTTCAAAACTTGCTCCTGTTGCTGCTCCTTCAAGATGATACAGAAAGTCAGAGAGGCTCATCTTAACTTTTTCTCCTGGATGCTCAGCAAGCACCGCTGCAGATATGGAGAAGAAGGGCCTACTGGGCCTGAACAGGCTTCCTCTGTGAGTGCTCTAGGAGGAACACCGGCAAGTGGAGGATCACTTGCCCCAAGGAGTGGTTTCCTTTCCTTCACCAGATGAAGGAGTCAGTCCTCTCTACTTCCACTCAACCTGATGGTTTCAAAACAGTTCAGAAACTTGTGTGTCATGTGGTAGGTAGAGTAGGAATGCCTGTGGAGGTATTGCAGGAGAAATAGCATAAGCTTCTTGACATTCTGCTCTCCTCCATGCCCAGAAGGCTGGCCTTGCCAATTAATGTCGGAACCAGCAAAAAAAAATTATGATAGACCCTGGCATCTATAGCACCTTCCTCAAAAAAGGCAGATATGCACTATAAAATATCTTCAGGTGGGCTTGAATATTTTTATGTGCACCCAGTTTGTGGGACTTGGTAGTAGCAGCTGTGCATGAAAGATCCAGATAGCAGGGACCCCCAAAAGTGCCTCAAAGAGAAGGATCTGAAAAAATCAGATTTACCTGGTAGAAAAAATAATCCCCTTGAGCCTGCAAATTACCAGGTGTTCTTGTCAAAAGTAGATTTACATTAATTGGGACAAGGCATCACAATTGACTGAACACTTTCCTCAAGAAAATAGGGAGGAACTGTTATCTCTTGTAGCTGAGGGACATCGGGTGGCTTATGTATCACTGCAGGCAGCATTAGATACTTCGGATACTGCAGCATGCTCAATAGCCACCTTCATTGCCATGCACAAGAGTTCATGGTTACAGTCTTCTAGAATGCTGAGGGAGGTCCAGACAACAGCTGAGGACCTCTTATTTGAAGGCTGTGACCTGTTCAGTGCTAGAACTGATGAAGTCCTGCGGTCTCTGAAAGATTTGAGAGCCACTGAGTCTCAAAGATTTGAGAGCCACTCCTTGAGTCTGCATGCCAGCCCCTAAGCATATTGGGTAACAAAACTTCTCTAGACAAAGGCCCTCCGCATGTTACAGTAGAACCTCAGAGTTACGAACCACAGAGTTACGAACTGACCAATCAACTGCACCCCTCATTTGGAACCGGAAGTACGGAGTCAGGCAGCAGAAGAGATCAAAACAAAAACAAAAAAAGCAAGTACAGTACTGTGTTAAATGGAAACTACTTTTAAAAAAAAAAAAAGGAAGGCAGCCTTTTTCTTCTGCATAGTAAAGGTTCAAAGCTGTATTAAGTCAATGTTCAGTTATAAACTTTTGAAAGAACAACCAAGATATTTTGTTCAGCGTTACGAACATTTCAGAGTTCTGAACAATTTCCATTCCCGAGGTGTTCGTAATTCTGAGGTTCTCCTGTATAATTGACAAAGATCATCAGAGCCACTGAGGAAGAAGCAGAAGGCCTGCTGCCTCTTCCTCTGCTATTGCACACAGCATGTCCCCTTACAGCAACAAGATTAAAGCTCTTGACAGCAGCATCACAGAGCTTTGGAGGATCTGTACCCTTTCCCACCTGCCACCCCTTCTAAATCTGAGAGCACTGGAAAGAGTTGCTTCTGGAATTCAGAGGGGAGATGGGTTTTATGCACATTATTTTCTAGTCCCAAAGAAGGTGGGCTGTCATCCCATGCCACACTGAAGATCTCTCAGCAAGTTCGTCCATCATTTCAAATTGAGGATAGTAACTGTCGTTTCCATAATCCCATCCTTGGATCCCCAAGACTGGTTCGCTGCTCTCTATTTACAAGACACATACTTTCACATATCAGTGCATCCAGCACACAGAAAATACCTGAGATTCCAAGTGGACGCTTTCCACTACCAGTACAGTGTTCTGCCCTTTGGTCTTTCAGCAACACCCGGGGTATTCATCAAGCGCTTGGCAGTCATGGCAGCTTACCTCGGGAGACAAGGGATCCCAATATATCTGCACGTTGACAATTGTCTCATTCAAGGAAGGTCACCACAGCAGGTGGTTGATTCCTTTCACCTGATCCTACATCTTTTCACCACACTGAATTTCAGGATCAACAAAGAAACGTTGTCACTGTTGCTGACCAAGAGAATGGCGTTTGTGGGGGCAGTGCTAGATTCCATATTGGCAAAGGCTTCTCTGTGTCACAGGGGAGATTCAGGACCAAGGAAGATCTCATCAACCAGCTGTAGGCTCACCCCCAAATGTCAGTAAGAATTTGCCTCGGACTCCTGCGTCACATGGCTTCCTGCACTTACATCACATAGCATACTAGACGCCTCTCATGAAAGGGTAGTTGAAATCTTTATATTTACGCAGCAGAGATCACTCCCCCAAGGAGTCCTCTCATTCAGTTGATGGAAACACTCTCTGCTGCTGTGCAAAAGAGTACTATTTTCTCCAACTCTGCCAACCAGGATGCTGGTTACAGATGCCTCAGTGTTGTCTTTGGGAGCTCACCTTAAACCACCTTCAGAGCTAGGGCTTCTGGATTGCCAAAGAATCTCATCTGCACAAAAATGTTCCAGAATGTAGAGCTATTTGTCTAGTGTGCATGGCATTCCTACCCATGCTACAAGGACGATCAGTACAGATGATAGATAACACATAGCAATGCTTTATGTGAACAGCCAAGGAGGAGCATGGTCATCTCTGCTTTGCCAAGAAGCTGGTTAATCTCTTGAACTGATGCATTCATCACCAAATCATGCCAGTAGGTATGCATCTACCAGGCTTGCAGAACTTCCTTGCTAATGGATCATCATATAATTGATCCTGCAGAGCATCTTCCATAGGTGGGGATACCCAACAGTAGACCCATTTGCTTCAGACTGGAACAAGAAATGCCAAATATTCTGCTCATGGTGCGGTCTGTGCCCAGGCTCCCTGTCAGATGCTTTACTCATCTCGTGGACTCCAGGGATAACTTGTGGCTTCCAAGATCCTGTTACTATCAAGAAAACTCAAACAATTCAACAGTAATAATCATGCTACCACTAACTTGACCCTGGCAGTTTCAGTATTCAGACTGAATGAACCTGTTAACTCAGCCCCCGACAACATTACCTGTCTTGCCACATGTGATCTCTCAGAACAGAGGTCAGCTCTTACATCCAGGCCTAGCATTGTTGCATCTGATAGCGTGGTTAACTACTATTAAAAGAAGCTGCTCAGCTGAGGTCTGGAACATATTGGCGCGTAGCAGAAAGTACTCTACTAAACTGACCTGCACAGGAAAACAGAAGAGGTTCTCTATTTGGGCAGCACAACACTGTTTCCTTTAGAAATCCTAATTCCTATTTATTTGTTATCCCGAAAGCATTCAGAGCTATCCATTAACTCTATAAGGATACGTTTAGAGCAGTATCAGCACATCTTCCTATTCAGAGTCACACCATTTTTTCCCACCACCCAGCAATAACTAGATTCTTTAAGGACCATATTCATGTGTCTCTTCCTGCCCTCCCCCATTCCTTTCGTGGAATCTTAATATAGTCTTAGTTTGGTTAATGGAGCCTGCTTTTGAGCCCCCTAGAAATGTGTTCTGTTTAATATCCATTTATGAAAATTGCCTTTTTTGCAGCTGTAATAGCAGATTGAAGGCTAGAGGAAATTCAGGCCCTCATGGCTGGTCCAGTCCAAAAGACAGTGACCCTTAAGCCTCATCCTAGGTTTTTTATTAAAATCGTCTTTGATTTTTCATTTGAATCAGATGTTCTTTCTTACACCCCATGCCAACCAAGGGGAAGCCAAACTGCTCACCCTTGATGTAGTTAGGGTTATTTCCTATTACCTTGACAGAAAAGACCATTCACAGAAGCTCCCCTAAGAGATTTGTAGCATTTGCTGATAGGGTGAAATGTCGGGCAGTATCTACCCAGCGACTGGTTTAAATGACTATCTAGTTGCATTAGGTCATGCGATGACTTAGCTAGATTAGATCCACACAGACAGGTTAGAGCCCGCTTGGGCCCAGGCAGCTTCTCTGAGAAGCATACCAATTTTTTCTAATGCTGAAACCAAGCTTGAAACTTGTCCATTTATTCTGATATTTTTAGAATGTTTCTGTTGTCATGATAGAGGTAATAAGGTAAAGCTGAAGCAATAAGTGGTTTGACTGAGCAGCAGAGTCTCATTGAATGACTGTAATAAGCATTTGATTTTTGTTCAATATATTTTTAACACGCACAGATGTTTTATTTCTGAACTGCCCCATATGCAAGACAGCTTTGTGGATAAGCTGCTGGATTTAATGCCCAGACTTGTGACCTCCAAGCCTTCAGAAGCGGTGAAGATCCTGCAAACAACGCTACGCCAGAGCACCTTCCTTCACCTTCCTCTCCCAGAGCAGGTCAGTAATCCATAGAGGAATGAAGAGCAGCCCCAGGTTCTAGAGTTAACCCTGTCCTGGTGGAGCAGGAGGCTTTTATGGCCTATTCGGCTGGCTAGTTATGAGGGATATTTCTTCAGATATTGCACAGTGTTTCTAGGACTGTCCTCAAAAAGTTAAGGAGCTTGAATAATTTTTAGATAGTGTCAGGAATTTTTAAAAGTTTACATCGTGTTTTCTTAGCTGTTTGTCTTGTCCTTTCCACCCTCCTCCCTTTTCCTCCCAGATCCACAGAGCTACTGCAGCTATTATTGAACCTGCTGGCGAATCTGATAACCCTTTGAGGTTTACGTCAGGACTAGTGGTGGCATTGGATGTCGATGCAACTCTGGAACACGTGCAAGACCCTCAGAGCACAGTTAAAGTTCAGGTAATGACTGATCCTTCCTAAAGGGAAACAAGAAAGTAAAGTCTTTGAAGAGACGTTTGCATTTTCCCTTGATGCGCACCATAGCAATATTAGTATTTCTAAATTATAAATAATTGTGTACTTTAGTAGCAGTGAGGAATTTTTTTGTGTAGCTAAACACAACAGTACATTTAGAGACTGGCCTGACCCACAGAGTCCAGATCTTCACTTACCCAGAGATGGTAAGGGTTTGGTTTGAGCCCATCTCTTCTTACATAACAAATATGTATGATGTGTCGGATCACAACACTGGTCTGTCAGGAACACTGTCATGCCGCTCTCAGATTGCAGACTCTTCAGATGGTGCCACCTTTTGTATTCAAAAAGCACCTAGCACATTGTGGACATTAGCAGAAACAACTAATAAACGCCAATAGAAAAATCTGTACATCCCAGTGGGATGAATGAAATTATGGAAGCGGAAGATGCTCTTCTCAAGTGTGTATATATAAAGATATAAGCCCATTGCTCTCCTTTGAGATAAGTAACTAAACTGCAGGAAGGGAATTATTTTTTTAAATGTCACCAAGAGGATGCGTGTGGAGTGATACTAAGTAGATTATATAGCCCTACAAAGTGTTCACTACTGGACGGTTACCCCCGTGTTTGGTGCAGGGGAGAGTGCCACCTTCACTGTATCTTTTGTATACCATGGTCCTGAATGGCTGGTGTACAGCCAGTTAAACTAGAGGATATGGAATCTCATCAACAAGGTAGGCTATGCATTCCTGCCTTCCTAGTGGTAGCCAAAAAGTACCCCCATAATGTGTAAATTCCAAGTACAGTAAATGTTGGATTGTTTTGCCTCTTTTTCCATAGGTATTATATCCAGATGGACAGGCACAGTTAATCCACCCTAAACCAGCTGACTTTCGAAATCCTGGTCCTGGAAGGCACAGATTGATAACTCAGGTTTACCTTTCTCATACTGCCTGGACAGGTAAGGAATAATCCGTGTGAGTTCATATGCTTAAATGTTGCTGTATCTTTATAAAGAGGAATGTATCTTGTTCTGCCTCAGTGATTTGGTACATAGAGTGCAGCTCACACACAGGAGAGAACCTTTCTGGGGGGTTTCTGTGGATTCTGCAATTGCCATTGCCTTCTCCCACTGAGCTTCCACATCCATGAGGAATCTCCTTCGTATCCGCTTGACCCTGCAGGTACTTGCACTCCTCTGGGTGACTGATACTATTGTTAATTAACCAGAGGGGCTGCTGTTTGACACAACACCTTCACGGACCTTATAGCCTTTAGAATGGGACACCAGAAGCTAAACTGGGGTCACCCCTCTCAGCACAGAGCATTGGCCCAAGACCTCAGAATGTACTGAGATCCTAGAAGACCGGAGAAGGGCTAACGTAGTGCCTGTAAAAGGGGGAAAAGGAGGAGCCAGGGAACTATAGACAGTCAGCCTGACCTCAGTACCTGGGAAGATTAAATCTCAGGAAAAATCTCCTCACTGTAAGAACAGTAGGACAGACACCTAGGGAAGCTGTGGAAGCTCCTTCACTGGAGGTTTTCAAAAGGAGGCTGGAGCCATCTGTCTTGGATGGTTTAGACACAACAAATCCTGCATCTTGGCAGGGGATTAAACTAGATGATCCTTGTGGTCCTTTCTCACCCTTTGGTTCTAGGATTCTCCTATTCTAATTTAAATGCAAGCAGTTGTGTTAAAATGATCCTAGTAATTCGTTGGTCGAGGTCATGGCAGACAACTTCTGGAACTGTGTGTACCCTACGTAGTAAATGTACGGCTGATTTATGTTTACACTTTTCTATCCCAGGGGTTCTCAACCTTTTTCTTTCTGAGCCCCCCCCACCCCCCCCCCAATCTATTAAAAACTCCGTGGCCCACCAGTGCCGCCACAACTGGTTTTCTGCATATAAAAGCCAGGGCTGGCGTAAGGGGGTAACAAGCAGGGCAATTGCTTGGGGCTCCATGCCACAGCGGGCCCCACAAAGCTAAGTTGCTAGGACTTTGACATCAGCCCCAGGTGGCAGGGCTCGGGTCCCTGGGATTCAGTTCTGAACAGTGGGGCTTCGGCTTTCTGCCCTGGGCTCCAGTGAGTCTAACACTGGATCTGCTTGGTGGACCCCCTGAAACCTGCTCGTGGCCCCCAAAACCCTGGTTGAGAACTGCTGCTCTATGCCATATAAAAAGGCATTTATCCCTGATGAGATCTGCGAGTTTGATATTAATGTTCACTATTACTTGGCTTTTCATTTGCAAAGTGCTTCAGCAACTGGCAATACGGGGCTCTCGTGTCTAGACCACCAGCACAGAGGTTGGATGTGTCCAATGTCTGACACCAATACAAGATCAATCATATGAAAATTCACTTTCTGTTTGGTATTTTGTTGTCCAGTAATCTGCTGACTGTGTATTACATGAGTTAGTTTGTTTTTTTCTTTTCAGAGCCATGTCAGATTGAAGTGAGGTTACTACTGGCATACAACTCCAGTAGGAGCAAGGCGTCCACTAGACTCTCAAAATCCACCTGGATTGACAGCATGGAGGCTCTTCCACCATCTGAATGTGGCATTGAGGGAACCATAGCATTCAGCAAACCTGTCAAAGTGTATATAATGCCCAAACCTGCCAGACGGTGAAGTCAATCACTAATAGACTTTATTTGCGGGATTGTTGGGTTATATGTAAACAAATTGCTATGTTCAAGATAGTGAATCAGACCAAAACAGTGTTACCTTTTAAATAAATAAAAAAAAAAGGGTACATCAGAAGAAGACAAAATAACGAATGGCATCCCCTATCAAAAAGCTGGTTGATTTTTATAAAATGTACCAGATTTTGCAGATGGTTGTGAATGGTTACATTGAATACACAAATGGTTACAGTCAATACACAGACATTTCTAAATCAAAGCAACAAAAACAAGACAATTCCTAATTAAGATTGGCATTCCCTCCATTAATATTCTCACTGGGCCAAATTTTGCAGTCCTTAGTTCCTACCTAGGCAAAACACCCAGTGGCTTCCATGGGAGATTTTTCCTGAGTGAGTGGTAGATACAGCTGGCAATATTTATTATGCAAATCTATAGTAAAGATGTAGATGTGTATTACAGTCTTATGACAATGATAAATCAGGCAGAGTTTTAGGAATGTCTAGAATGTGTATTTGTGCATTGGTCCTTGTATGTCCAGTAAAAATCCTTCTCTAAAGAGCTGTCATCCTGGTGCAGGAGGTACTTAGTTATATAACTTGGGCTGGCTTAAACATTGTGCACCGTATTGAAGTTAGTGGCATTGCATGGAATATTAATCCATGCCACGTTTGGGGTGTTGTCTGTTTTTAAAACAAAAAATCTGTCACCAACAATGAGACTTTATTTTGCATACTTAGGTTGGTTACCTAACTTAGCAATGCAACAGCCGTGTAAAATCAGTGACTTACTTTCCTTTCCCTAACATGACAGGGAGGCAATATATATTTACCCAGTGAACTTAAACTCTTCTTCTCAACTTTGTTTTGTGTCTCTCCGTATGAAGAATGTGTGCCAGTGGCCCAGGCTTCAGAGTTAATAGCTGTTTTGTTCCAGTATAATGCAGACTGTTGCTGGAATCTTGTGCTGAGCTTATCCTGCTATGGTTAGATAACTAGCCTTTTAGTTTGTGCAACTCTGCATCAGTGTTGATAGTCAAAGGTGTTATACGAATAAAATAATAACCAGCAGGATCTTATTAAAGGGAAAAAGGCAAAATGCCACATTTATTGTAAGTACAGAAAGAATCATAGTAAGCAGTTAGTTATAGCTATAACATTCCATTCAATTTCATAATTATTCTCACACACACATACACACTCTGCAAGGTTGTTATCATAGTTACCAGCCTTAGAGTTGCTCATGCCAAGCCACTGGCCAGGGGGCCTGGACATGAGGAGGGAGCAGGGCCTTGTCTGATGCTCCTGGAAGTTGGTTTGCAGAATCAGACCCCAAAGTTCTCACTTTCTAGAGTCCATTTTTATAAGAATTTCTTCCTATGCCAGTCTATGGGCATTGCTTCATCATGCTGTTGCTGAATCAATCAGCAGATGGCACATTCCTGATGGTGCCGTGCTGCTGATGTTATCTTGTTCTTTGGTTCTCCCATTCTTGAGGCTGCTGGGTGGATTCCAGTCTGCCCTCCGGGGGTCCTCTGGTTATTTCCACTTGACGCCTTCTTCAGCCGATGGACACTGGATTCTTAGGCTGGTGCCTCCCTGATCATTCAGTTATTATCCACACCAAGCATCCATCTACATACATCCTCTATCTCTATTTTAATCACAATTGTAAACAAAGCAAGATGAATACAACAAAAGGACGGGGAGTCTCTGGGTGCTGTTTCTGTTGTTACAGAGTATTGCTTTGAGTCTCTCTCTCTGTGTGAGTAGTTGTCGTTTCAAAGAATTGCTTTGAGAACAGATTTTGTCTTAGAATGTACTAACACAATTAGTAGCTTGCAAGTTTCACACATAGAGGTAGAGAAACAGTACCAAAAACCAAGAGACCTCTTGATTAGTAATACCCTGGAATTTAAACTATGGGGAATCAAACTCATTTGTGATTTTAATACAGAACTTCTTTAATATGATCCAACAAAGGAACTCTAAGATCTGCTTTAGTAGCTGGTCATAGTCAGTTAAGTGCTACTGAGCTACGTTGTGCCTATCCTTTGAGCAGGTACGCAAGTGGTGGAATCAAAGGCATAAGGAGATTTACCTAAGGGACAGGCACAGTTTGCAACCCTTCAGTCAAGGAGCAGGAGGATTGTTATTGGCTCGTGTCCACTGCCCCATGCTCTGGGAGGTGCTATACCTGCCTGAGAGATGCTTCTGTTGGGAAGGTGTCTCTGCACCGCTCTGTAACACAGGGCTGTGCCTCCTGTGATTTCCAGCTGTGTCGGATAGGAGTTACTGGAAGCACTTAGCCCAGTAGCCAAATGTTGCCTGTGTTCATCAATTATTTGTAAAAATGTGCATTTGTAGCAAGTAAACTGAATTGTTAAGAGATGCTTTTTCACTTGCATACAAATTAACATAAATAATTTTGCATAAAATACCCTTTAAGCGTGCTTTTCTACAATAAAACTGAAAACCCCAACCTAGCCAGTTTCTATTTATTATAATAGTTAACATGTATTGTTGTAGGGGTTTGTGCTAATGATGAGAGGTCACTACTTGTTTAGACTAAGATATTGGCATGCTTCAGGAGTTGAGGCACGAAGCCAAATGCCTGTAACCACTCAGCTGTATTAGGTATTCCTGAATTAAACCTCACTTCATAACATTATTGCTCTTACAAATTGTTTTTATATTTCACCTTTAGGGCCCTGGTTTGAAAACAGCCTGCGTCTGTAGCAACAGAGTTACCAGCTAACTGCTGTATGGCGGCCTAAGTTCAGTTCCCAGCGGACAGGGTTTGATGTACATCTCTTATTATGAAGCTGTATCCTGGGCAAATTCTTGATGTATTGAGCTACCTCCTTATGGATGTTCTTACACTTGTTTTACACTTCGGCAATATTTGTATAGTTTGTCATCCCAATAAAAAATTTGGATTCAATTTATGTCCATATTATAAAAGCCACCACAATTGATACCCTTTCTGGCAGTCAGAGCTGAGAATCCAAGGACTGAATGAGCCATGGAGAGTGAACTACCCGATCAACCTTAAAAGCTGTCCTGCCATGTAAGGGTGAAGCCTGTTGTTGGGCAATAGAAGGAAGCTTTTGACAGCTACTGCCTCTTTCATATAAACCATCGTGTTCCATTGTTAGTGAGATGCCTTGCAGGAGTACTGTATTTAGAAAGGGGGAAAAAAACGTTACTTTTGTTGTTCTGGGGCTAAGAAGTTCTGAGCTATGGATAGCCAACTGGTTTAGGATCATTGATTAATCAGGTTCTCTCTTCTGGAAATGTCATATTGTAAATGGAGAGCTGAGCATCCTTTTCTTATCGCTAAGCATTGTAATGAAAATGTTCTGATTAACTCAAGGAAGGTAATGACATGATGGAGAATCCCTTATTCTTACGTTGGGCTAATGTTAACAGTCTGCTACATGGTATGTAAAATATGAGACCAAAGTGTCCTTTCCTTCCCTCCCTTGCCCATCTTGGTAAGGAACAAGGGTCAGATTTTCAAAGGTATTTAAGCACTTAGGAATGCAGATAGGTGCCTAGTGGGATATACAAAACGCACCGAATATGTCTCTTTAAGCACCTAAATATCTTTGAAAATCTGGCCCTGAAAGACATTGGCAAAACTACGGATCTGTAAAATCATAAAACTTCAGAAGGAGAATTAAGATCCAATAGTTTTGTTTCCTTGCTTCCCACTGTATGTTCTCCAGTTCTGAATGATTCGACCAATGGGGCTTCCCCTGTCCTTGTGAGATTATTCCTTTTAGTCCTTAAAGTCTTCCTGGTGCTCATCTTCTATTTTTCTTTCATTTCATTACTCCTAGTTCCACCTCATTGCAAAATCCTAAGGAATTCTCTCTCTTGGGTGTCTTCTGCCATTCAAACAGATGGCAACTAATCTCCTTCTGTCATTGTTTGGCTCAGCTAGGGCTGGTTATACACAGGTCACCCTTTAAAAACCCAACTCAATTGCTGTGGCTCCAAACACTTTTTTGTTACATTGGAATTTAGAAAAGAGCATCTACGTCTTTCCTAGCATCAGGCTGACAGAACTGAGTATCGCCTATCATAGAGCGGGAGGGACTGTAGCATGCCTGTGATTTTACTTTTGACTCTCCTACTGCCTTGTTTGCACTGCACACTCACTTATTTTATAGTTTGCTATTAGACCTCGTTTTCTTTTGGTGCTGTTGCTTTTCTAGGCTTTTCCCTCTTAGTTAACCTGTTCTGAGGATTATTTTCACCCAGATGTTATCTTACACTTTTCTGCACAGATTTCTGAGCTGTCCAGGTCCTCCTCCTATGTCTTTCATTTTATGGGTTAACTCCTGCTAACTTACTTAACATATCAAACTATTTCTTTTAGGATATTGGCTCCATGTCTTTTTTTGTATTTGATACTATTCAGGGTAATTTTTTCTGGATCCTTTTTCTCCTCAGCTCTGAGACATTTAGGCTCTCATCCTGGGATATGCTGGAGACAATTCAGACTTTTCCATGAAGCATTGGGACTTGGCCATACCACTTCTGGAGTCATGTCAGCTCTCCGACCTTATTTGTGGACCTTTCAGTTTAGGGACCCCTACCCTGGTGCAGGCTAAGAAAAGAGATGGATCTCTTCTGGGGATGAGCAGCCTTCCCATAAGAGGGAAAAGAGAACCAAAAAGGCCATGCATGCACACGTGTGTGCAGCTCTGATCCTCCTTTTCAGTGAGCTCTAGGCTCTAGGCGGGGCACTCGTTTCAGATCACAGTAACACTGAGCTAGACAAGCAGGAGAAGGTTTTCCTGGGGTGACAAAGTTCCTTCTCTGCCTTGGTGGGTCCTGTGCTTATTGGCGGATTTGCTTGCCTCAGAGATTCACGGCAGACCTCAGTTTGGCCACTTTTGCTAGTGGCTCAGACCTGCCGTTCACTCAGCTAATCTCATCACTGGCCAGCATTGGAAAAAGGAAGAACAACAATTCCCACAGTTTCTGCTGATCCACCCTGTGTGTGAGGGAACAGCCCAGAGATCTTCCCCTCTCGTGGAACCCACAGTCCAGGTCAACTCCTCCTGTGTCTGATCAAGATTTGGAAGGTTTGGGGGGAACCCGGGCCTGCTCTCTGCTCCGGGTTCCAGCCCAGGGCCCTGTGGACTGCGCTGTCTAGAGTGCCTCCTGGAACAGCTGTGTGACAGCTACAACTCCCTGGGCTACTTCCCCATGGCCTCCTCCCAACACCTTCTTTATCCTCGTCACAGGATCTTCCTCCTGGTGTCTGATAATGCTTCTACTCCCTCAGTCCTCCAGCAGTACGCCTTCTCACTCTCAGCTCCTAGTGCCTCTTGCTCCCAGCTCCTCGCACGCACACCACAAACTGAAGTGAGGTCCTTTTTAAACTCAGGTGCCCTGATTAGCCAGCCTGCCCTAATTGATTCTAGCAGCTTCTTAATTGGTTCCAGGTGTCCTAATTAGCCTGCCTGCCTGAATTTGTTCCAGCAAGTTCCTCCTTGTTCTGGAACTGCCCCTGTTACCTTACCCAGGGAAAATGGACCTGCTTAATCTGGGCCTAATATATCTGCCTTCTTACACTCTCCTATAGCCCTCTGGCCTGGAGGGAGAGGGCTGCTGCTCCTGCTGGCGCTGCTGCTAGGCCCTGGGCTCTCCCTGCTGCTACTGCTGCTGTTACTGCTCCAGCTGCTCCCCTGGCTGGGCCAGACGCCCCCTTCCCCTTCTCTGTTACCTGGTTGCTAGCCAGCTGCTGGACCCCCCACCCTCGGGGCTGCTACTGCTCCAACTGCAGCCCCTTGAGGGGGGAGCCTGCTGGTCCGCTCCCTAGAGGAGGGAAGTGAGGCACCCCAGCCCAAGCCGTTGCTGTTGTGGACACCATCACCACCTGAGAGGGGTCCTTTCTGCCTGCCCGGACCACCAGCTGGAGTTCCTGCTGTGGAGTCTGCTGCCTGGAGCTGCTGAAGCCCCAAGGAGGAGAAGAGGAGGACTATCTACCACTGGGGGAGCACCTCGAGACTCTGCAGACCACTGTGGAAGGGGCCTTTTGAACTGAGTGACTTTCGAACTGTGCTCTTGTGGTGGGGGGTGGGATTATTGTCTCCTGGTCATCCCCTGACAGGGCCCCTGACACAGCCCCGTGGCCCACCGAGACGGGAAGGCAAGGTGCGGACCCCCGATGGGGTGCCCGATGGGCTGGCGCCACCCAGCCCACCTCGAACCCTGGGGTAATAGGGGGCGGCGGAGGGAAGATAGCAGCCCCTAGTGGGTCCGGACAGAGAAACACAAAGGCTGCTCCCTGGGGGTCATTTGCTGGAAAAGGGAAGGAGACAGCCCCAGGAGTGGCAATAACATCGCAGGAGGTATAGGGGATAGGGACAGGGTCGACAGCGTGGTAGGGCCGGGGTTAGGGACAAGGGCAGGGGCAGAGGTGAGAGTCTGGGCTCCAGAAGCCAAGCAGCTGGGTGGTGGCACCTCCCAGTCAGCCCCCTCCCCACCCCCCAAACTCTTGAGCCTCTCAGCAATGCTGGGTGCAGGCTCTATGGTGGGTTTGGCAGCCACGGCCTCAGGAGGTGGACTGTCTTCTGTAGGGCCCCCACCCGGAAAGGAGATCGATTGCTCCACACCAACGAGGCATGCCCCTGTGACTTGGGTCCCGGCCGCGTGGCACTGGCCGTCGCCTCAACAGGCTCGGCGGCCATCAGCAGGGTGCCTTCTGCGGCCGGGTTGATGGAGGAGTCCAGGGGCTCCTCGGAGGTGGGAGCGGAAGCAACGGTTAGGGGGAGGGAGCATGAGGAAAGGGGGGCTGGAGTGAGGTCGCCCAGATCGAGGCCCGCTGGCAAAGGGTCATCCTCCCCCTGGGTGACCAGGGTCAGACCCAGGGCCTCGATTTCCTTGTAAATGGAGGGGAGATCACTTTCCGCCACCCCGGGATTCTCCCCGCCAGCACCCAACGCAACGGTCACCTCGGGGCTCACAGGGGCTTCAGATGATACCGTGGTAGGAGGGGCAGGAGGTGCTGCCACGTCTTCCCCAGCCAGCACCGGTGGATGGATCGCACCTGTGGGCAAGGCAGAAGGCTCGGCATCAATGTTTCCCTTTCTGGTTTTTCAGGAGGCCTCCGCATCAGATGGGAGGAGCGGAGCTCGAGCCTTCCGCTTGCCCCACTTCCGCTGTACTAGGGCCCAGCCCTCCATGGCATCATCTGGGGGCTGGCTCGCAGAGGTCGTGTCAGGGGGCAAAGGCAATGGCTCAGGGACTCGGGAGGGGGTAACGGTGGGGCAGCAAGGGAAAGGGAAGATTTCCCCCTGGGGTAGGCCCTCTCCTATGCCCAGCAATACCCCGCCACACCCTCCTCCACAGGCCCCGCCAGATTGCACGCAGCGGAGGCGGGGCTCTCCCGCTCATCTGGGCATAGTGGGGGAGGTGCCCTGTAGAGTAGTGCGCCCGGCAATGGGCCCCCTGGCAGGGGACCAGGAACGACCCCTCGAGCGCCTCTCCGCCACGCGCCGCCGGCGGCAGTTGAAGCTGCACCTGCCAGCGGAACGAGAGGATGTGACGGCGGGCGGGGTCTTTGCAGCCCAACGGGAGAGGGCTGACAACAGAGATGGGTTTCCCCAGGGTGGAGAGAGCGGGTAATAAGGCGACATTGGGAAGAAAAGGAGGGACAGAGCTCAGGACTAACCAGACGCCCAGGTCCTCTAGTGGCTCTAGGGGGACGAACACGCCCCCCACCGCCAGGCCCTTCTCTACTGCGTCCTGGGCGGCAGCCTACGATGCTAAGACGACGACCTTTCCGTACATTTTGGAGGCCGCCACAATGGCTGTGGGCCCCACCACCCTCGCCAAGGCCTGCACGCAGGTCTCCCCGAGGGGTGAGGCGGGCACCAGGAGGCAACGGACACTGTGCTTCCTGGTCAAGGTCGGGAAGGGGCC